TAAGTTTTTACATTGCTTTCCTTCAGTCCGTTCACAATAGAAACTATTCTGCCACATCTTGACAGACATTCTCTGTTGTGTGGTAAATATTTCCAGTACATTACTTTTTGACACTGTTAATGTGGAGCTTGCAGAGTGTGGCTTTGGACTGCACAGTGATAACATCTTAATACTCGGGAGGGGGAGTTACTTCTGGCATGTCATACTTGATAATTCATATTTGATACTTAAGGAATCGCTACATTTAGACGCAATTCTTTGGTACCGCCGAATTAAGAAATACAATTTATTAAACCTTTTTATAAAAATTTTAAAAAAATACTTTAGGTAAGATATATCTGTATTTGACGACTTTGGAATAAAATGGCTAATTATTGCATCGTTACTCAAAAGAATGAGGTGTTACAGAACCTGCATTTCAACTTATTAAAATACATTGCACTCAAATTATTCAAAACTTATGAAAGCAGATTTACCACTCATTGTGCTGTCTGATGTTGTCTGTTGTACAATGGTTTCTGCCTCTCTTAAGTTTACAGACAATTAGATATATTTCTTGGCTTTGCATGAGTCAATTTGCTTTTGGCTAAATTATTAACTTATCACATGTAAATGATTAATGGTTACCTCTCTGAGAAACAAGGGTTCAGCACATTCCACCTGTTCAAACTGTTTGATTTTAAGGTTCTGAATCTGCTTAAGATTCAGGACCACATGTTGGGAGTAGCTGCATTGTTCAAAGTGCAGTGTTTTTGATGCAACATTTAACAAGTCGCCTATTTAATTGGCCATTAAAGATCCCATACTATTTAAAAAGAGAAGGGAGTCTCTTGTTGTAGTCAGACCATCAAATTAACTGATCAGTTTCCTCAGTGTTGTAAGTGGGCCCTTGTTGATTCAAATAGCTGCCATGTTTGCTTACAAAACCATAGCAGCTACAATTATATAGTGGTCTTTACGCAGGCTAGGGTCATGGAGCGCTGCAATAATCACTACATGTAACGATAATTACTTTAAAGTATTTTTTAATGGAATATGCAGCTTTAACAATACAAAAAAAATTTAAACTTTTGGATTTCAATAATTGCAGATGGATTACAGGGCTATTCAAGACACATATTAAGTACCTGTATTTAAATATTTAAATTTGCAGGGCTATAGGATAAGCGCGGGGGAGTGGGACTAGTTGGATATCTCTTTCAGAGAGTCGGCACAGGTATGATGGGCTGAATGGCCTCCTTCTGTGCTGTAAGATTCTATGATTGTATGACACTATGATTTATCTCTCTCTTCTTGGGAAACAAAGATCTATAGAATCGTTCTTCCTACAACCCTATTTCCCTTCAGAAGTTTCTAACAAATGTTCTGCCGACAATCAACTGTCTCTAGAGAAGTTCTAATTCCATCTACTCTGAACTTGCTCCTCCTGGAATTGGTGCAGCTTTTGATGGAAAATCTCCCTTCTCCTAACAGATAACAAGCATCTCATTTGATCCAAGTGAAATGTCAGAGTGTTTGTTTTAACCATTATTTTAATTTTGCGAAACATTGGGATTCTAATCCTCCAAAAAGCTGCCTCAGTCATTATTAAGGTCAGCAATCTAAAGAGACGAAAATTGCTGATATTTTATCTCCAGACATTTGCATGTGTGCTCTGCGGAAATTGTCTTCAGAGACAGACTGGGGGAAGAAATTGTGCTGGTGCTGAGCTTGTTTACAAACTTTGACTAATTGACTTGCTATTAATTCCCTGCCTTTCAGTGGTGATGCAGAAGCACAGACACCTACCTCATGGTGACGATACGCCCGGAAGAATTCTTTCCCCTTTTGACATGTAATTCATCGACTGAGAGCAGCTTTAAATCCTACGGGGATAATTAAGAGTCCTCAAATTGTACTCTAAACATCCTTTCTCAAAGGATCGCAACAGCAATTAAGACATTTCTACTTTTTATATACTTGCTGAGCCATCTGAAATGTCGGCAGTGCAAAAAGATATATCTTCCAGTAACTACAAATTGGAAATGTGCATGTTTCATTATTGGCTGTCGCTGGAGCAGTAACTCTTACAGCAATGAACCCATGTGTTTCTAATGCTAGGTGTAATAATAGAGAGTCTACAGTCAATTTTACTTCTAACTATATCTAAAATATTGTGCATATTAAATAATAGGCACATTTCTGTCACTGGAAACTGGAAAGACAACAATTCTAACCAAAATGGGGTGATTTACAAATTGGCTAACGTGAGTAGGGAACATGAATCATTGCTATTACTGCAGTAATGAACACATTATTGCGTTAGCCTGGATCAGTTGGTAGGCATTAGTCTGGATTAAGTTAGTAGCCATTAGCCTGGATCAGTAGGCAGGCGTTAGCCTGGATCAGTAGTTAGGCATTAACCTCCATCAGTTGGGTGTTAGCCTGGATCAGTTTTCAGGGGCAATTTCAGCTCTGAAGCAAGACTTGCAAGACAGCGGGACAAACAAGGAAGCAAAGAGAGTATTTCTATAATTTTTAACTAATTTGTCAGTCTTAATAATTTAATAGTTAATATTAATTTTACCCATTAGCCACAATTGAATTTTGTTGCTTTTTTTCAATTATGAGCCTTGTTCCTCGTGCCCCAGAATCTTATCCCTTCCTCTGCGCTGCTCTCCTCAGCTCGCCAGACAGCAATGTCAATGGCAAGCTATGTGGTTTTAGCTGGTTAGACTCCAGCAATACCCCAATGCACACTCTGGGGTCCCCAAGCCTTGGCTCTTGCCAACCTGCGCCTAATACTTTCTGGAATTAGGTACGCAGGATGCGTTCCTCCAGGGAGGGAGTGCGCACTCCACTCCAACAATCTATCTCTGGGATTCCCATGTGTAGGTGGGATGCATGGACTTCTCAGTTTGGTTTGGATACTCTTTAAGTATGGTGATGGGTTTCCCCATGTGTCAGACACTCAGATAACCAAAAAATAAATTAAAAATCTCCTCAGCTCCCTTCCCTGTCCCCTATCCTCCATTACTCCCGTTTCATTCTCCTTTCTTACCACCCTCCGCATTTCTTCTCCCTCCTTGATCGTCCCACAGCTTCCCTCTGTTCCAGCCTGGGATCCCTCCGCCGGGCACATTGTGGCACAACTGGCTGTCCACCCTGACTGCCCCATCCCCCATTTCCACTGCAAGGCCTACAAACCCCCGATGCCCAGAGCAAATTTGTATTTTTTATATAATTTTCAGTGTAAAATTATTGTTGTAATTTACTGAAGAATAATTTAAATTATGGTAAAAGTTCTAGAGTACAACTTTGTGATACGACAGGGGATGTTCTGCAGAAGATATCTCTGACCAGTGTCAATATGTCGCATAATATGGCTACACGATGTGACTGAGATGTCAGGTGATCAGATGTCAGTTAAATTTATTCAAATCCTATTTCCACGAACCAAAAATGCTAATATAAAATGCTGTGTGTGTGTACATGTGAGTGTGAGGGAAAGGAAACAGCAACTCAAAGCATAAAGACAATCCCTTTTTTCAGAAGCAGAATTTTTTCCCAAATATAAAGGTACCTTTATTCAAGACAAAAATTCATTACCCATAACAGCAATGAACCGAACGGGTGTAAGCTGATGTAGTACCAATTGGAAAAATGTGACACGGATGTTGTTGTAAATGTAAAAACCACAAACAGTAATGGGGTTTTGTTATCTATATTCATTTGATTTGTATTTATTTTTACTTCTTGTGTCTTCTGTCTGTCCCCATTTTTTTTTGCATTTCACGTACACAATTAAATTCTTCATTGATTTTCTCTGTTCTCCCATGTTTGTTTCTTGTGGGCCATAATGGGATTTGACCTCATAGTCTAGGCCAGGGTGGTCCAACCTTTTGGCTGCTGAGGGCCGGATGCCGGATTAGAGAAACATCCACGGAATGCGTAAGCAATACCAGAAGTATAACCGTTAGAATCATGTAGAAATCAATGTTTTAAATTGTGCAACTGTATTACTTAATTTCACTATATTTTAGTTACAATGCAAACTTTAAACGGGCAATGTAAAAATTCATGGAAATTTTAAAATAATACTTTTATCAAAAAAGTTTTTTTTGATTAAAAAAGTATACTTTTGATAAAATAAAGTATACTGTATTCGCAAGAATAATCATCACATTGAGTAAACAAGTGAAAGTAAAATAAATAATTAAGTTCAGAAATGGTTCGCGAGCCGGAAGAAATCATTCCCGCGGGTCGGATGCTGACACTATAATTGCAGTACTGGAAGAGCTCTCCTTTGGATGTCAAACTTAGCTCCCGCCTGCCTGTTCAGGTGGACTAGATTGTGTATATCATCTTAAAATTTAATAATAATCCTTGCATTTGATATAGCACTTTTCACGTCGGGAGGACGTCCCAAAGTGCTTCACAGAACACACTGTAAAGTGAATTGACTGTATATTTGTGGGTGAACGCGGCAGCCAATTGCGCACAGCAATGTCCCACAAACAGTCGTAGATTGAAAATGACCAATTTATTGTTTTTTTGTTTTGGAGGGATTATTATTAGGGCTCTGTGTGGAGTAAGGAAACTTGCCCGAGGTTTCGCCCTCTGCCTGGAATTGAACTCAGGTCTCTCGCTTGCAAAGCGAGTGCTCTAACCACTGAGCTACAGGACTCCACTAATTTGTAGTATAACTGAAGTTACTTGGATCTGGCTAATTGGTTGTTAAGAACTGACTTCATTTGTGTTTTGTTTACCAGCACCAATGTGTCAGCACTCTTATGTTTATTTGAAAACAAATGCAGTTCATACCACCCGAAGCCACTCTCCATACCTGAACTGATACACTCTTGTGGAAAATAGGTGCTAAAATGACAAACATTCAAAAGTCAGAAACATTTAATGTGCTCATGCTACAAGATAAATAAAGTGAGGGCGCTTTGTGTACAGTTGATTTAAATGACGTGCTTGCAGAAATGACCATTTATTTAAAATGACAGTCAGTGAACTTTTGATTCTTCAAAATTTATTTGATGATCCCACACTATTAGACACAATAGATTCCACCATGGTTACAAACCAAGCCAGTGCTAACTAAAATAGTTATTCTGCTTCATACACAAAGAATGTTTTTTCTTGAATGCTTTTTCTCGTGGGTAGTTGCAAGTGAGAATGACAAAATTTCGTGCAAATACAGAACTTTGATCTCATAACATTGTCACATAAAATCACACAACTTTGAATGATGTAGCCATTTGTATAATTCCTGAAATTCAGCCAAATTCCTGCTCTCATTTGTTTCATAAACAAATACTTTAGTCAAGAAAACAATTAACAAAAAGTTCCTTGTTACTGTTGGTGAGAAATAATTTAGTAACATTGTTTAAGTATAATTTTACATTATCACATAGAATAGGCTTTGGGCTGTTAACTGTTTCATGAACAACTACAATCCTAAATCCCACTTCTGAAAATCAAGCATTGAGCACCTTCTCCCTACAACAACTTGTACTTATATACCGCCCTTCACGCGGGGCAGCATCTCAAGAGCACTTAACAGCGGCAGAGCCTGACGCCGATCCTATAATAGACCTAGTAGATTGTGTACTGACAAGCTATTCCCTCAAACTATACAAATCAATGGGGGTGATTACTTGTTTTGTGGTTCTCAAAGTATCTTAAATTTACCAGAAATTTCACAGAAATGGTGAGTTTTTTCTTTGCAATGTTAGAACATATTTTGAAAAGCACAACTTTCCTGAAGGACAAGATTAAAAAAGTCCCTTCTTTCAAATTCCACCTGTCCCAAATGCAATCAAAATTATGTCAGAAAAGAAGTCATTAAAATAACAAAATGTTTCACTTGCATAATATTTAATTCAATTTTATCTGGTATACCATTGGGTTAAATATTGTGGAGTTCAAGGATAGGCAGAGGTGAGCTATACCTTTGTATAGGTAAACTGCAAATATGTTTTAATATTCTTTTGCCTTGAACCTTGCGTTGTCAAACTAAACTCTTTCAAAGGGCTGGATAAATATAGTACTTGACTTACGGTTCAAAGGATAAGCATAGATAGGAATATTCTAAACACTTAATGAAACATAATGGCTCAGTGGTAGCGCTCTCACTTCTGAATCAGAAGGTTGTGGGTTTAAGCTTCACATCAGGACTTGGAATCACATAGTCTAAGGTGACACTCCATTACAGCTGTGTTGCATTCTCAGGGTCTTCCTTCAATGAGACTAAAACCGAGTTCCCATCTGCCTGTTCAGGTGGATGTGAAACTCCCATGGCAGTATTGGAAAAGAGAAGGGAGTTTCTTTCGGTGTTTCGGCCAACAATCCCCCAAATAAAATTGGTCACTCGTTCCGTGCCTATTTGTGGGACATTGCTGTACACAAATTGGCTGCTGTGTTTCATCCACAAAATACAGTCACACCACTTTACAGTACGTCATGTGAAGCTCTTTCAGGTGTCTCAATGATGTTATAAGGCTTTATATATCAGGATTTTATTATTCATCTCTTTTCACTGGCAAAAAGTAATTACCCTTGTTGGGCTCATTCCAGGTGACCAAACCACAGAAATGCTAAGTTATCAAAAGCCAAAGGAAAGCAGACTTGTTGAATGTACAGGGAGACTGTAATAGACTTTCATTGTGTGGTGTAACGTTTCAGTGATTTATTTCTTACTTCCCCTTATTCGTGTTTTTGGGAGTTTTCACTTTGATTCTTCTGAGATGAAGCTGTGTGGAGCAACAGCAGCCCACATAAAGTCATTGTAATCCCAATCCACCACAACAGTGCATGAACTTCTCCAAACAGCAATTTTCCAAGGAATGCCTGAAATAAAGTCATTAGTATAACTTTTTATTATAATAATCTCTTTTCCCATACGCCATTATGGGATGTTTCAAAATTGACAGTTTGTGAGGAAACAAACCTCACCCTATAATGTACTGTAAGTAATAGGTGGAAGTGAAAGCCAACAATGCAACTATTTTCATTGTTGGCTCTCAGGCGTCTTGAAGATGTGATAAATTGCTATATCAAATGCAAGGATTATTATTATTTTACTATAAAACTGTGGGAAAGAGTAAACCTCTTCATTGATCAGTCATGTTCAAACGTCTCTAAACATAGTGCGATTGTACTTCACTGATATATACTAAATGCAAGAGCATGTCAACGAAGTATAATTGGACTTATTTCCAGAAACATACTGTACAAGTGACCACTTTATCTTAACAAGAGGGAGCACAGACAACATGTGAGAAATCATAATCCATTAACAAAAATTATATGTAAGAAATGTAAATACTCAACTGTCGCAAATGCAGTGAGCCAAACAAAAGCAAAACGTAAAGTGTAGTCACTGTATTTACAGAACACTGCAGTTTAAGGTACAAACTGTTTTCTCTCTTACAGTACAAGTAGAGTCCATTATTTCTATTCTATTACATGTTTTACACACAGCGAGGCTGGCTTGTGATTGACAGACAGTCAGTCAGCAGGTGGGGTGTGGGTGGTTGGAAATGGCAATGCAATCGCCAAAAACTTCAGGTAAGTGAGTCGGTTTTGGCTGACTTTTGGTAAACTTTGGCCTACCCCAAAGTGATTTATATTATACAGCACCCTCCACGTATATTGAGCACCCTCCAACGGTGGAGTGGAGGGTGTGAGGGACGAGCAGGAAGCTTGTGCCAGTCGAGCGGAGGCACCGAGTGGTGGATTGGGGAGTGAGGAGGTCGGAGAGGTAGGGAGGTGCCAGGGAGTGAAGGGATTTAAACACGCATATGAGGATCTTGAATTCGATCCGTTTGGTGATGGGGAGCCAGTGGAGCCTGGGCCAGAACGGGTGAGATGTGGTACGGAGTTTGGTCCGGGACAGCATGCGGGCAGCAGAGATCTGAGTAAGCTGGATCTTTTGAATAGTGGAGCTGGGAAACCGTCGAGAAGTGCGCTTAAGTAATCCAGGTCGGAGGTGACAAACGCATGCATGGGAGTTTTGGCTGCATTTGGGGTAAGGTACAGTCGGAGGCGGGCAATGTGACGGAGGCTGAAGAAGGCGGTACTGGTCAGGGACCAGATGTGGGGAAGGAAGGACAGCTGGGGGTCGAACCGGACGCCTAGATTGCGCACTGGTTTGGTGAGTCTGTGGGAGAGCCCATGGAGGTTGAGGAGTTTAGATCTGCAGGAGTGAAGACGTTGAAAGAAGCCAAAGAGTATGGCTTCCGTCTTGTCCACATTCAGCAGCAGGAAGTTTGCACTCATCCAGGCCCTGAATTCTGCCGGATAAGCTGAAAGGACATCGGCAGACCTGGAGTCACTGCTGGAGTAGGTAAAGTAGATTTGTGTGTCATTCCAATACACGTGAAAGTTTAACCCGTGTCTGCGGATGACATCGCCAAAAGAGGGAGCATGTAGATGAGGAAAAGAAGGGGGCCAAGGATGGAGACCTGGGGTACCCCACAAGTGACCGGGCGGGGGCGGGAGGAGAGACCATTTGCAGAGATGAAGTGGAGGCGATTGGTTAAGTAGGTCTCAAACCATGCGAGTGCGGTCCCAAGGTGGATGAGGGATAGGCGGTGGAGGAGGATGGCCTGGTTGACGAAGTCGAATGCAGCAGAGAGATCCAGGAGGAACATCCACGACTGTTTGTAGGACACTGATGTGCGCGGAGGCAGATTTTGCCTCATTTCGCCCAGAAAACATACAGTCAAAACACTTTACAATATATTCGGTGAAGCGCTTTGAGACGTCTCAATGACGTGATGAGGCTCTATATCAAATGCAGGGATTATTATAAATAGTTTGTCCCAATTACAATAAATGATTAAAAGGCATTAGGATCTTGGGATGAAATAGCTGAGCATACTTACAGAGGAGAGAAAATTGGACGCAGTGGTTGTCAGAGACGCTCTCGCTGAAGACGAGGAGTACCGTAATGCTTTTGCAAAGAATGTCCACATCAAAGCGTTAAAGAGGAATACCAGACCACCACAGCCCACTCGGAGTAGTACATGTATCTGAAATCCAGCAAAATCTCACAATTTAAGCAAAGTATTTGCCATTCAACATACAGTACTTTAAAATTAATAACAAAAACATAAACCATTAGCAGAAAGGAGTGACAGGTATGATTGTGCCAGAGCTCACACTTTATTTTTCAGTGAATCAGAGTCCCAGGACACTATTTAGCAGCAGATCAGAGTGCAGGGGCGCTATTTTGCAGTAGGTCAGAGTGCAGGGGCGCTATTTGGCAGGAGGTCAGAGTGCAGGGGCGCTATTTAGAGGAAGGTCAGAGTGCAGGGGCACTATTTGGCAGGAGGTCAGAGTGCAGGGGCACTATTTAGGCAGTAGGTCACAGTGCAGGGACACTATTTTGCAGTAGGTCAGAGTGCAGGGGCACTATTTTGCAGTAGGTCAGAGTGCAGGGGCGCTATTTAGAGGAAGGTCAGAGTGCAGGGGCACTATTTGGCAGGAGGTCAGAGTGCAGGGCACTATTTGGCAGGAGGTCAGAGTGCAGGGGCACTATTTGGCAGGAGGTCAGAGTGCAGGGCACTATTTGGCAGGAGGTCAGAGTGCAGGGGCACTATTTGGCAGGAGGTCAGAGTGCAGGGGCACTATTTGGCAGGAGGTCAGAGTGCAAGGGCACTATTTGGCAGGAGGTCAGAGTGCAGGGGCACTATTTGGCAGGAGGTCAGAGTGCAGGGGCACTATTTGGCAGGAGGTCAGAGTGCAGGGGCACTATTTTGTAGTCGGTCAGAGACATTATCTGTCTATGTGAGTGTCAGACCAGTGTGTAACGTGTGCCTCACCAGTTCCCCGGGGGCCGCTTCCTGTCTGCTCTCCGGCCTCAGGTGATCGCCCGTTAGCGTCAGTTTCGCAGCAGTGGCGGCCAGAGCGCCCAGAGCGCCTGCGCACAGCGCCATGGCCACGCCCAGCCCGGGGCCCCGCGCCGCCATCAGCCGCTCGCGCCCTCTTCAAATCGGAGCCACTAACGGCCGCCAGTGACGTCACCGCAGTGACGACGCCTACACGCATACGTCACGGGAGGGGGCGGTGCTTCCGGCCTGTCAATCAATGGTGCCCCGCGTGCCGGCGGCACCGAGTGCTTTCCGGGTTCGACGCGAACGTCGTCGCGAGCGCCACCGCCAGGACAGGGTCAGGAGAGCACACGGGCAGCAGAGCTCTGGGGGATCCGCAGCGGTGGAGGGAGGGAGGGGTTGGGGTGGCCGACAAGCGGGGGGTTTGGGTGGTGGAGCCCGGAGGGCGGCCGGTGCTGTGAGACGGCGGCGGAGGAGCCGTTGCAGAGGTTCGGGATAAGGCGGAGGGGGCACAGACGTGGGGCGGAAAGGACAACTGAGGGTTAAACAAGACGCCGAGGTTCGGGACTGGCTCAGTGGGGGTGGGGTGTGCAACCGTGGATGGTGATGCTGTCAGTACCCCGGGGGTGTGGAGGGGCCATTCGGGAGAGCCTCGGTCTGTTGGCGTTAAACTGCAGGAAGATACCCGTCATCCAGGACTTGATGTCTGACAGTCCGTGAGAACAGCAGTGATCCTGGAATCCAGGGTGGAGGCAGAGAGACAGAGTCGGGTGTCATCCGCATACGTGTGAAGTTGCGGATGATGTCACCAAGAGGGAGCGTGTGTAGATATTGAAAAGGAGGGGACCAAGGACAGAGCCCTGAGGGACGCCGCACGTGATGGTGCGGGGGCTGGAGAAGCAATTAGTGGCGACAAACTGTAGATGGTGGGAGAGATAGGATTCGAACCAGGCGAGGGCAGGTCCACGAAGGTTGAGCCGAGAGGAGAGGAGGTGTAAGAGGATGCAATGGTCGACAGTGTCGAAGGCAGCAGAGAGATCGAGGAGGAGAAAGCCGCAGAGAGAGCCCTCGTCACAGATGTTCAGAATGTCGTTAGTGACTTTGACCAGAGCTGTGGGCAGCGCGGAAACCCAATTGGAGGGGTTCAAAAAGGGAATGGCGGGAGAGGAAAGAGCGAAGCTGGGATGTGACGACTTGTTCCAGGGCCTTGGAGAGGAGGCGGTAGCTGGAGAGGAGGGTTGGGTCCAGGGAAGGTTTTCTCGGAATGGGGGTGATGACGGCTGGTATTCAGGGGATGGGAACAGTGCCAGTGGATTGATGATGTCAGTTAAAAGAAGGGCCAGGAGGTGGGAGGTGAGGAGAGGGGTGGGGATTGGGGTCGAGGGAGCAGGTGGTGGTCTTCATTTTTGAGATGAAGCAGACCAGGCGGAGGAAGCGGACAGGCCGAGATGGGGTTAGGATGTCGGTGAGATTGGGGGGGGGAGTAAGACTGGCGCAGGCTTTAAAAGTGAGAACAAGGGTTTTGTACTTGATTCTCTGAAGGTTGGGAAGCCAGTGAAGCCGGGCAAGAACAGGGGCGATTGGTTCACGGAGCCTGGCGCGGGAGAGGACACAAGTTGCGGAGTTTTGGATAATCTGCAGCTTGTGGCGGGAAGAGTTGGGAAGTCCAGAGAGCACGTAGTTGGGGTAGTTGAGCTGGGACGTGATGAAAGCCTGGATCAGTGTCTCGGCGGCCTGTGTGAGAAGCAGAGGCGGGCAATGTTGTGGAGATGGGGAAAGGCGGAACAGGTCATAGCACGAGGTGGGGACCAAGGACAGACCCCTGAGGGACGCACACGTGACAATGCAGGGGCTAGGAGAAGTGATGGTGGACAAACACTACGAACAAACATCACAACACCACCACAACAATAGCCATCACAACAAACATACCACCATCACAATAACCATAACAAACACCACAACAAACATAACACTAAGCATCAAAACGAATACACCATCACAATAACCACCAAACACTACCAACAAACATCACAACACCAACACAACAGCAAACACACCAATAACCAACACCATGACAAACTCCAACACGAACACAACAGCAACAGAAAATAATAAACAGTAACTCAGAAAAACACAAGTATTTGTTTAAGCACCTTATTGCATCGTCGAGATGTCTTAAAGCACTTCACAGGATTTTGATTATCCAGACTTCATGAACGTTTATTTTGACCATCAATAATCTGCACACCAGCTTCCTTTTTTCTCCCTCAATTTTTGAATTGTCTGTAAAATTAACTGCAACTTTCACATCTCTAACAGGAAGTGGGGCCGAATAAAAATGATCATTGTATTTGATATAGCACATCATCATGTCGTCGAGGCATCTCAAGGCACTTCACAGGATATACTGTAATGTGTTGTGACTGTATTTTGTGGGTTGTTCATTCAGAACCAATCTTCTTGCGTGCTGCAATGATTATTGCTAGCTGTTCTTTCTTGCAGGGAGGAACTGCAACCTTTTCTGACCAGCAGTTGAAATAATTGTTAGCTGTGAAGTTGGAAAATTATTTTTGGTTGAGCCCTGGAATGAAATACATTCAATTAAAAACAATTTATTAAGGTAAATGGTTTTCAAATGCATGCATTTCAATTAATAAATGCAATTTATCGATTCCTTTGATTATTCAATTTCTCCAATTCAATTTAGCCAATTAAGATAGTTGAAAAACAGAATCGAAGAATGTTGAACAATAAAAATTTTATTAAAAAAGATAATAGATTCAACTTGTATACAACTAGATTTTTTTTGGTCAAAATCATACACCAACAAGAAGAGGACAAGATATGAAAAGGCTCATTTACAGGTTGTTGAGTACAAACACTACAGGTTCAGAGCTGCCTTTTAATTTCTACATGTAATGGACAAGACAAAACTATGACATTAAATCACTCTCCCCAATTTTCCTCGTCCCTCTAGGGGAAGCGTTTGGTGACTAAATATTTAGGAGAGGCTCATAAAATTAATTTTTCAAATCTTTATTTTAATCTTTTAATGACTATTTGGGATTTAATTACATGCAACAAGTTAAAGGTCAGATATTTTGCCTTTGATTGCTTTTTTAAAAAAATGCACAAATAAGTGAAAATTGCAATTAAACGCTGGCTGTTATTTAATCAATTTCAACATGATTAGATTTTCCTCAAGAACACAAGGCTTCAAATCCGATTATAGTTATTGACCTAAACAGATTAGAAAATGAGTTTAGACATATATGGTGAAAAACACAAAACAGATATCTACACATTAAAAAAAATCTACAATGTATTAAAAGACATTTTCATCATGTTCCCTGAATATGCTGGCAGACGTATCAAGCACAGTAGACTTATTGAGGTCAGGTTTCTTTGAGAGCTCTTTCAGTTTCAATTTCAATATTTCCACTTCCTAAAAACAAAAATAGTCAATTAATAAAACACTTGAGACAAAATAGTAATTTAGTCCATCAAGCCATGTACTGAAATTTGTTCCAATTGAGATCAGACAATGTAGCAAACCCTGAGAATTCAACCTGCGATCCTTTGGTGGCTTTGCTCAAATCCAATTATACAAGTTCCAATTTGTGCAGTGTAGTGAAAAAAACAATATGACATCTGGAAAGGTGGATATTGGTTTGCACCATCATCTCTCCCCCACCCCCCAACCCCATAGAACTAAGTTCCAGATTGACATGATATTATACTCTTGCGTGTACCTGAGAAAATACAAGTCAGAAAATAGCGAGGAGGGCTGAACTTAGTGTACACTTTTCGCTCTGCTCTTCCATTTAAAATACTATCAAATTGTTTTTTAAAAATCATAATTGAAAAGTTTATCATTAATCTTGCTTTTAGATTGTTTATCACATCACCTCATATAACAGGAAGTTTTTTTTCCTGGGAATTGAACCTGCGAGAAGTTAGAAACAAGAAGTCTCAAAATATTCTTGAGAAGGTTTTTGAAACATAATTTTGGACAATACTGTACCTCTATAAGCCGGGAGTTTTCTTTCTTAACTTTGACCAAGTATTGAATCTTCTGTTGTATGTTCTGATGTCCTAACAGTTTTCCATTCTCCTCAGTGAGGGAACTCACTTGTTTCCTAATAGCTTCGATCTCCTACATTGTAAACAAATCAAATACTTAGACTCAATGGGCCAAATGGCACACTCAGTCCTCTTCTGAATAAATCCCCCTCTCCAAGAAAAACTCTTGTAATTTGTAACTCACTCTATATACTTCCCTTCTTGTGATTGAACAATTAACTCTGCCCCTTGCATTACATCATTTATATTCCTGAGATTAAAACACAGCCTAGAATAATCGATTGAAAATCTCTGTGCTGGCTGCATGAGGTCAGCTTCAATATGTATATTGACAATATCCATCTTTATCATTTACCTCTACCGCTTCACCTCTACTCTCGATTCCAAGACTGTTCTGACTTGTCAGAAGTCTGTCTAAAAAGTCCTGGTTGAACCACAACGTTCTGCAATGAAGCAAGACTGAAATCATCTTGTTTGGTTCTTGCTAGCAACCTTGCTCACTCCATCTTATACTATCCACTCTAGCCTTACACTCCAGTACACACCCTTTTCGGAATGTTTTACAGCTGCTTCACATAAAACCACAGCGATCTGAATGATGAAATCTCTTTTATCTCATCCTTCCAGAAAAAACACCATATTTTCCTCCCATTTAAAAATAATTCCAGCATCTTCGCTTCAACCAACTTTCCAAAATATTTTAGACAATCTGGAAATTTATGGATATATTCCCATAGAGCACAACGTGCCAGTATAAAGCATTTCTGACTTATTTTGCTAGTAAGCTATTTTTTAAAAAAAGTTTCTGTAAAGTGTTACATTTTTCAAAGGCAGTTTATTGCAAAAACAGAATAGCCTCATTATACATTGGAAATAGAAATTCTCCAAGCTCCAGGTTTTAAAATAACAGAACTTACCGTAAAATAGGTTAGCCAAGCCCTTCAGAGTTCCCCTTCCCCAAAGACATTAACACGTTTTTTATGGCATCCTTTATTTTACAGCATGAGCCATAAGGACCACATTTAAGCTGACTAAAGATGTGCCACCACTTTTGGAATCAATTGACCATCTTCCAAAAATGTAAAGTACAATATTCCAAGTTTCCATAAAAAATAGGTCTTATGGGTTGAATTATGGGGGAATTTTGAGATTAAGTATCGTTAAAAGCTGGGAGCAATCATATCCATGACTTAATATGCCAAGCAGCAAAAACTTACTCAGATCTACAACATATGAACAAGAGCTGCCCTTTCACTTTATTGAGCCATTAAGTCTTTGGCAACTAATTCCATTTGTCTGCCTTTTTTCCATATCATGACTTCCCAGGCTCTCTTGAATACCTCAAATGGGCTCAATTATCCATCATCTTCAAAAACAATTCATTCTATATTCTCACAACCCTTTTTTTTCTTCCCCTCTGGCTCCCCTTTCACTCTTAAATCGAATTTGAAAGTTATGGTCCTTTGTTCCAATTCTAAGATACACGATGAGCATATCTTTTTAAAAAAAGTTGACATGCACCTTTTGTTTGCCTACAATATAGTTAGTAAATACCAAATCAACTCATTGCGTGAATCACTTTGAGACATTTCAAAATAATAAACTGCTACACCTAATTCAAAAATTACTTGTACATTGGCCTTTCCTCCCCCTGTACTCAAGAAGTTAGTCTGTCTCAACCCAAGAAAATAATTCATAAATTACCCCAGTAAGTCTCTCTTTCTCTTCAGATGCAGATTCTAACTTTGATCGACATGCTTCTTTTTCTTCAAAAGCTTTTGCTTCTAAATTCCTGGCGCGTTCTAATTTCTCTGCAAGCTCTTTCTTGGTATACTTTTCAGCCTCCAATGTCGCTCTGGTCTCTTTCAATCTGTAAACCAAATACTTGTGTACAACAACAGCAGCAATTTACATTTGGATAGCACCTTTCACGTGGGGAGGACATCTCCAAAGCGCTGGACAGTCAAGAAGGCATATCTGGCGACCTCCATACAGTTCGGCAGACAAGATTTAATAATGCTAAAATTATTTTTACAAACAAGACTATACAGTGTACAAAACATGTTGCTAATCAGTCTTCCTTGTATCTATACATTATTTTGGAGTCCTATCATTTTGTACTATTTTAATTTTTAAAACATTAAAACCTTTCCCATGCTTATTTTGACAGCTCAATAATACTGTTAAGAGTTTTGGAAAACAATCTCGGCAACAGAAACTTGCATTTATGTAGTGACCTTCACATGGGATAAAGTCTGAGCTCTTCAGAGTCAGGATTGGTGCAGTGATTAGTTGAAGTAGGTCTTTAATAATAATAATCCTTGCATTTGATATAGCGCTTTTCATGTCTTCTCAACGTCTCAAAGCGCTTCACAGAAGACTGTAAAGTGAATTGACTGTAAAGTGAATTGACTGTATATTTAAGTGGCATTTAAGGACATACAGATAAAAAGGGGCGAGATAATAATCCTTGCATTTGATATAGTGCCTTATCATGTCATTGAGACGTTTCAAAGAGCTTCACAGTAAATACTGTAATGTGGATTGACTATTTTGTGGGCAAAAGAGAGAATACAGAGGTTAGGGGCCTAGTTGCTGAAGGTTCAGCCACCAATGCTGGCTCGGAGAAGAGTGGGGTAGGAGAAGATCAGAGAGACAGGGAAGTGCTAGGATGCAAAGAGATGCTAAAGGCGAGAGTGAGAAACTTGAAGCTTATTCTTTGGGTGAAAGGAAGACAGTGGAGGTTTCTTGAGGACTGGGGTGATGGTCATGTAGAGTTTGGTATAGGTGAGGATGCAGGTGCCCTGGGCTTTGCATCTGTAAGAGCTTGTCATTGCTCAAACTAGGGAGACCATCGAGGAGCATGGGAGTCGAGAGGCGAAAGTGTGAATGAGATTTTGGTGGCACGGGGGGGTGGGGAAACAATGTGACAAAGATTTGTTTTGGTCATGGACCGTAAGCAAGTAGGGAAGGAAAGTTAGAGACAACCAAATGACAAGGTTGCACACTGCTTCAATGAGTTTGAGAGGAGCCAAGGAGGCTGAGAAGGTCAGAGCCAGAAGTGAGGAAACACTTCTGGGAGGCTGGCTTCAGTCTTTGTCCATGTTAAGTTGCAAAAAATTTAAGTTTATAATATAATCCTTGCATTTGATATAGTACTTTATCACATCTTTGAGGCGTTCTCAAAGCACTTCAAAGAAGTTTACCCTGGAGTTGATGTCTGACAGGCAGTCAGACAGAATATCAGTGAAATAATGAAGAGGATTACAGGAAGACAAACAGGCTGCTAGAATGGGTTGATAGGTGCAGATGAAGTTCCAAAGAGAGGAATGTGATTTAATTCGGTAGGAGAAATAACGTTTATACCTTACATGGTATAAGAATCTAAGAGGGGAAGAGAAGCAGAGATCTGCGGATTCATTATTATTATCTGGGGATTCATATTAAGTCTCTAAAAACCACAACACAAGGTGGATAAGGCCATAATAAATGCAAATAAAAATCTTGGGCTTTATGTCCAGGGGGATAGAATACAAAAACAAGGATGTACTGTTAAATCTATATAAACCTTTGGCTGAAACACATTTGGAGTACCGGATACTATTCTGGTCACCATCCTACAAGAGTGGCCATGCACCATTGTCAAGCTCTCTGAGACGTTCTCCCAATGTAAAAGGTGCTATATAAATGTAAATGCTATTGTATTGCGACAATGGAGTGTGAAGCTTCACGAAGATGGGACTGGGATTGAGAGAAAATTATCAGGGATTGAACAACAATTTGCATTTATATAGTGCTCTCCACGCAGCACATCGTCTCAGAATGCTTAACAATGGTAGAGCCCGACTCTGAGCCAGGGCAGGGGGTGACCCCAGTTGAAACAAGGTCAAAAAGATTTTATGGTGGGACTTGAAAAAGGGGAGTGAGGGGATAAGGCGGAGGGATTGAGGGAGCGTTCCAAAGTTTCAAGGCATAGTGGTCGAAAGCGCGACCTCCAGTGGTGGAGCGGAGGGTGCAAGGGACAAGCAGGAGGCCAGTGTCAGTCGAACGGAGGCGGCAGGTGGTGGATTGGGGAGTGAGGAGGTCGGAGACGTATGGAAGTCCCACGGAGTGAAGGGATTTGAACATGAGTGAGGAGTGTGAAAGACTGGTTATAGCTATTTTCCATCAAGATGAGGTGATTGAGAGGGGTTTCAATAAGACAAACATATATAGACTATTTCCATTTGTTGGAGAGTCCATAACAAGAGGGTATAAATATAAGATAGATATTAACAAATTTAAAAGCATTTTGGGAGTTTTTAAGATGGTGGTGAGAATATGAAATTCACTGCCAGACTGAAGCAGAACGTGTCTAAGAGGGTATCTGATGCAGACAAGGGAGAAAAGTGGGGTATTGAGAGCTCACATGGAGCATAAAGACTGGCACGACAGGTTGAGCTGAATGGCATGTTTTTAGTGCTGGAGCTTATACGTAATTATACATAAAGGCTCTCTCTTTAGACCCACTCTGCTACGTAGTAGTTTTATTTTTAAAAATTCATAAAAATGCACTTACTCTGCTTCCATGATGAACATTTTTTCCATTAAGGTTTCCTGTAAATTATAGAATGAAAATGACCACAATTGTTACTACATGAAAATTAGTGTGAAAATAAGTTTTTTTCTAGTCTTCTAAAGGTTACTACACATTACAGTAATTGCAAAGTGCTTTGAGACTGACTTTATAGGCACCATGAAATGAAAATTCTTATCATTCATACACCTAAGAATTAACTGGTTAAGAATTTGCAATTTACAAAATTTGAAGTGAAGTTAGTACAATCCTGTTTTTAATCAGTTTATAAATATAAATCTCAGCAGAGGAGCTCACCATGAACGGAAACATTCACTGAAAATTGTTGAAGAAAAAAAAAATGTCCTTTGAAATTTCCCTCCTCCCATTCTATGAAAGCAGTAGTGTAGTGAAAAGTAAAAAAAATCACAACAGTCCAAATGCTTACAAACTGTGCTATCACACATCTTTAATAGAAGATCAGACTATATACACCTGAAGAATAAATTATATGGTATGGGTGGGGGAAATAAAATCTCTGCCATGTCAATGTAGCTGACAAAACAATCTTTATTGCCAAATACATCAAAGTGAACACGTACACCACTAAATTACTAGCAGCAGTTACCGACTGTAATAAGCCATCAGGAATAATATCGTTTGATGAATGGCACCCAGTCAATCAACAAACAATTCTTTTTCTTCATTCAAATTTTTGGATAAATGTACCCATTTAAGTGAAATGCAGCTTTGTTGGAACTATTGCATCAATGTGAAATGTGCTGCTTTCCTCATTAGCAAACTATGTGAAATTCTAGCTTTAATCCAATAAATAATAATCCTTGCATTTGATATAGCGTCTTATCACGTCTTCCAGACGCCTCAAAATGTTTCAGAATATACTGTAATGTGAATTGTCTATATTTTGTACATATTTTGAATGTATATTGACTGTATAACATGAGGTGAATACCCAATTCAAGACAAGTCAGAAGTCAGTTTAACAACTCATGAGAAGGACAACATCTAAGACTTTGCAAGGCTCCGACAACACTACATTGGAGTGTTCATCTGAACTACAGGGCTTGAATCTATTAAGTCCTCAAAGCTCACATCTTCCAGTAATTGCGTGGAAACTGACAAAACCAAATTCACACAAGGCCTTCAGTGCTAATGGAGAGACTTTCTTCCTGTTAGAGTGGGCTGGAAGTGATCTTTGCACCAAGAAAAAAATGAAAACAATTAGAAACAGAGAAATAAGATGGTTATCTTCGTTCTGTTTAGTTTCTTTGTTAAAGTTAAACAACTCACTTCCGTATGGCCAGCAAGTGTAATTTCTCAGCCTCATGTAAAGCTCAGACATAGTACCTTCAACCGCAATGAAATAACTATTTTGCTAGGTAAAAAAGTCATTTTAAGATGGAAATGTTTTAATTGCAAAAAAAATCAATTCAATCAGTGCAGATCAATTTGAAAGGACTCCAATTCAAACCCTTGCACTTAAACAACAACAACAACAAGATTCCATTTATAAAGTGCCTTTCACGTCAGGAGGACGTCCCAAGGCGCTGCACAGTTGGGTCATGACCCGAGCAGGGGGGAAATGGTCAGGGTGAGGGGAGGGAAGGGAGGGAGCGAGGAGGGGGGAAATGGTCAGGGTGAGGGGAGGGAAGGGAGGTAGCGAGGAGGGGGGAAATGGTCAGGGTGAGGGGAGGGAAGGGAGGGAGCGAGGAGGGGGAAGAGAGTCGAGAGGGGAGCTGAAGGCACGGTCAAAGAGAAAGGTTTTGAGACCGGCCTTGAAGGAGGAAAGGGAGGAAGCGGCGAAGGCACTGGGGGATAGAGTTCCAGAGCTTTATAAAGCTGAAACACTTTAAGAAAAAAAATGGGAAAGATAGTCAAGAAAATAAGTGTGTGTCAGAAAGTCATAATAATACCTGAGTCTTTAATTCTTCCATCAAGTTATGATCTGCCTTAATCATGCTCTTCTCCAGCTCTGCTACAGTTAATCCATTGCTTTAAAGTCAAAATAAATTCAGTGAATTGCTTATGTTAAATAAATGCAATACAACTTGAATGAGTTCAAAATAAATAGGCTAGTATAAAGCACGCATTTTCTACAACTTCTTGGTTTATTTCTAAAATAATTTATCAAAATCTATTTAAACAATGCAAATTAATCTTACGACACTTACTTAAGATCTAATTAATACACTAAATTTTCAAGCATCGTTATTCCCAAACAAACTTAAACCGAAATCCATTCTCTTATCTCTACATATGAAATATTTGTACACTGTCCAGCGCCTTGGGACGTGAAAGCGCTATACAAATGTAATCTTGTTGTTGTATTTGTCAACAACAATTCTGCAAATCTTTTGAACATTGAAATATACACAGCAGCTGCATCCTAATGCTGCATTTAGGATCTACAAAATCCCATTCCACAAAGCAAAATGTGATAGCTGGTTTTGTTGCACATAAGATCATTCTGCTGATCCTGTTGATCACCAAAATCACTGCTGAGTGTGCACAAAAGCAGGACGTGTTTGCAATGACAACCAAATTCAGCAGTTTAGTATGAGAAATGAGACTTTCCGGATCATTAGGTCCCCGCCAATGTCACTTCCTGCCTTCTTAGCAATAGCTTGATGACTATTTTTGTGTGAAAAGCCCAACCAGCACATGGAAAGCTGTCTACGTTCTAGCTCAGTGAATGGGTCCACATTGCAACCAAATTTATGCTCTCATGAAGTGCGGTGTAATGAGTTGTGCTCCATGAATCTGATTAGTTATAGGCACTGATCAGCAGCAAATGGATCTTTTACCCACTAATTTTTTTAAAAATATAAAAATGAGTTATTCACTTCATTGATTTGGACCATCAAGATTGATGGCCATTTGCTTTTCAGTGAGGGAAAATAAGCTTTAATAATTTTGCTCATCTAAACCTTTTTTAAAAAACAAATCGATTACTGAAGAAGTTACTGAGCCTAACAGGATGAAGCTGCCATGCAACGGGATGAAGCAAAGGGAGCTTCGCTGGTTTGAGTGTTGAAGTGTAAACATTTCCATGCTAATGACAACCTATTCTATTCTAATAAATTGATCTGCCTCAAAGGTGGGGTGATCCAGCCAGGGAAGGTCAGAGATGAGGAGTAAAAAATAAAATAAAAACAGATCCCTAGCATGGTTTGAATTGGATCTTTGTAATGATTTGAAGTGAAAAGACAATTGATGTTAATTTTAAAAAATTAACATTAAAATCCTTTTTCTTTCAATCCAACAATTATGCCTAATGGATGGTGAATAAGGAGATTGGAACTGTAACAATGAGTGACAGTCAAATTCCTGTACCTCTTTTGTGTTTCCTTCTGATCATTTTCTAGATGCAATTCCAAACTCCGGCAGTGCCTCTTCGACTCCTCCATCTCTAGACGCACGTTTTTCAATTCGCATAATTGGCTCTAGATGTTATGGAACAGAGAAAAAAGTGGTCAAAATTTAGGCAATTATGTCTCAGCTCAAAGGGAGCAAAAAACAATCACTGACTTGGATCACGCAGGAAAGGTGGGCCCCTGGGGGAGGCATGAGATGGTGACCATCACCAACCTTGGAACTATACTTGTTGCCAGTTTCTTGGTGAGGGGAAAAAAAGTTTTTTTTTTTTTAAAAAAAAGGCAGTCAACCCCACTCTTTGCCATGGAAACTATTTTAATAATAATAATCCTTGCATTTTTTGATATAGCGCTTTTCACGTCGGGAGGACCTCCCAAAGCGCTTCACAGAACACACTGTAAAGTGAATTGACTGTATATTTGTGGGCGAACGCGGCAGCCAATTACACACAGCAATGTCCCACAAACAGTTCTAGATTGAAAATGACCAATTTATTATTGTTTTTGTTTTGGAGGGATTATTATTAGGTGTGTGGAGTAAGGAAACTTGCCCAAGGTTTCGCTCTGCCTGGAATTGAACTCGGGTCTCTCCCTTGCAAAGCGAGTGCTCTAACCACTGAGCTACAGGACTCCACACTCCATTTTGTTCTCGACTCTGTGGGTGTTTCTGCGCCATAAGGTATTCTTTACCGAAAGTGGTAGGAATGTGGAATTTACTGGCACACGAGTAGTTGAGGCGAATAGCATTAAAGGGGAAGCTAGATAAGTACATGAGGGAGAAAGGAATAGAAGGTTATGCTGATAGGCTTAGTTGAGGAAGGCAGGAGGAGGCTCATGTGGAGCATAAACACCGGCATAGACCAGTTGGGCCGAATGGCCTGTTTCTGTGCTATATATTCTATGTAAGTCAGCCATATCAACTTCCATTTATATAGCATCCTTCATGCGTGGTGGTGCCTCAGAGCGTTTAACAGAGGAGTCCCGTAATGCAATGGTTAGAGAGCTCGCCTCGCAAGCGAGAGGACCAATGTTCGAATCCTTGGTGGGGCAAAACCTTCGGCAAGTTTCCTTACTCCACAGGCCTGTTTACCTAGCAGTAAGCATGAACCCAGTTCAGTCGGTTGGCGGATCGTTTTCCAGGATTAATAATTCCTCAAAAAACAATTTAGCCACTCAATCCACGACAGTCAATCCACTTTATAATATATATTCCGTGAAGCGCCTTGAGACATTTCAATGATGTGATGAGTTCAATTCCAGCAGGGCGAAACCTTGGGCAAGTTTCCTTACTCCACACGCCTAATAATAATCCCTCCAAAACCAAAAACAATAATAAATTGGTCATTTTCAATCTACGACTGTTTGTGGGACATTGCTGTGCGCAATTGGCTGCCGCGTTCGCCCACAAATATACAGTCAATTCACTTTACAGTGTGTTCTGTGAAGCGCTTTGGGACGTCCTCCTGACATGAAAAGCGCTATATCAAAATGCAAGGAATATTATTATTATTATATGCAAGGATTATGCAGGATTATTATCAACAGTGGTGGAGTTTAGTCCCACTAAATAGCAAAATAGGTCTTTAACAGCAAGTTTTCATTATTCAGTTTGAAGATTTAGGGAATTAAAATGTTCTTTGCTTAAGTAAAACATGTAAATAATTTTAAAATGTATGGGACTTATACAGTACCTTGAGCTGAAGAATTTCTTCATTCTTGGCTCTCCTTTCCGATTCCATCTCTTCCAACAAGAATTCTAAGGTGGCCTGGGATGCCTTTTGATCATTCAACTCTTTCTCCTGAGTTTCTATGATTTTAATCAGATCAATTCTCAAACTAGGAGTTGTTGGAGTCTGTGAAGTTGGAAAAAATCCACTTAACTATTCATATACAATATATATGTATTACATATAAACTGAAAAATGCTTTGGTGGTGGGTTCTGACATCCTTGTGTTTAAGAGTTTCCAGTTCCAGCTACCACAAAAGTAACATTTCTGTTTGCCAGTTTTGGCATTCATCATCTGTCGGGGAAGGCAGAGCAAACCTTTTGTTTATGCCAGGAAATCACAGGTAAAAGATCCGCAAAAACTGAGGCATTAGGGACTCTAAAGTGTAAGCTGGGTGTTTTGGGGTACTGCTGGATAAGCCGGATAATAAAGTCGGATAATAAAGCCACATATCTTACAAGCACAAAGCATTGGTAAGCATTCCAATTATTATCCAACTAGGCGCACTCCACTCATTCACTATGATTTTTTCACCAACAGCTCACCTTAGTGCCAGAGACTCACTCACTTTTTCAGTTTTTGACCATTTTCCAGTCTATGACGACACTGCCTCAAACAGATGAGCTGTCATATATTTGTTTATAATAGGATTGCAATAGCTAGTTTCACTACACGTATATACAGCCACTTGGCTTGATTCCTGGGTGCCGGCCAACTCCTTCATGCTAACAAAAAGAAACCTCTGGGTCACAAGGCTGCTACTGATATTACGTCCTGTACTCCACACATAGGCCAATTTCCGAGTCACCAAAGTGACTTCTTGCAAAGTTACTCCATTATTTTTTTTAAGCACAGGACTGGATGTGGTGCACAAACCAAGCTGTGCCTACGCCCAGTGAATGGGGCTCACCCACTATTCGTGCAAAAAGTGAACCAGTGTTACAACAGGAGTCTACAAGATTTTCTATTAAAGGGATCTGCAAAATGTGATGCCGCTCAAAGACGCTTGAATTTGATTCCCTCAGCCGCTATCTGATACAAGAAACCCATTCAGCTTCCAGGCATAATAAGCTGGTGAGACATTACATTTAGGTGAGATGCTGCAAAGCTCAAACTCTCTTCAATTTCCCTCCCCTACTGCATTGCAACATTGGAAGAGAGAAGCTAATATTAAAATGATTACCTGAGGAAGGATATTGGTGGATGTATCTGGATCATATTCAGTTTGCACGACTTTTTGTCCATATTGACATCTTGCTTCTTGGAGTTCATTATTTTTTTCATTTAGCTGGAAAATCCACACAAATCACATTTTGAAAAGAATCTTATACATTTTTTCTGAAAAGGCACATGAGACCAATATTTTACCTCTATCCAAAGGATTATACAAGAATTTTATACATCAAAACTAGGGGCCATCAATATAAAATAGTCACAAATAGATCAAATAGGGAAGCTGGAAGAAATTTCTTCACAGAGTAGTGGGAATGTGGAACATGCTACCACAAGGAGTTGTTGAGACAAATAGCATAGATGCATTTAAGGGAAGGAGAAAGGATATAGAAGGTTATGCTTGAAGGCTTAGTTGAGGAAGGGCATGAGGAGGCTCATGTGGAGCATAAACACTGGCGTAGACCAGTTGTGCTAAATAGCCTGTTTCTGTGCTGTATATTCTAATGTATTTAATAGACTTGAAGTCCAATAAATATTTCCTAACAGCTGATACTATTTTGAATAGAAAAGGCATAAGCAGGATCCCCAGGCAGCAAGCTTGTGAAGATCCTGCTCAAGGTTCTTGCAGGAAACTAGGAAAAATAGAGCGACTTGTATTTTGGATCAGACAGAACCTATTAGGGAAGATGCAAAGAGATTCTTGGGGTGTTAATTGATTGATTTCCAAACAGTGTGAGAAAGTAATAAACACGTCATTGACAAATCAGATGAAATCAGATTCCGAAAGGACATGCACCAGCTGTAAAGTGCTTTGGCTACTTTAATTACCTGAGTTTGAAGCTCTCGATTGGCTGCTTCTTTCTTCTCTACCTCTTCCTGCATCATTTGTACTATTGCCGTTTGCTTTTTGGAGTCCTCAGTCAACTGTTCAAGCTGTTCAATGGTATTAGTTAGGTCTTCACTTAGTATCTCCATCTGAGGATGCAAGGTTAACAGTCGGTAGGAGGTTTAAATCTTAAAACTACAGTTACTGCATTTTAAACTGCTAACTGACAACTTTATTTATCAAGACTAAAGTATATAAGAGTGCTCCAGTACATGAAAATAGTGTGTCCAGGAATTATACGAGTCCTAAATTTGCATCCCCAGAAAATACATAGCAGTCACCCAGTGAATCAACTTAGTCAATATGTTCTTTGTAGCAAGAACACGCATTTCACAGCACCAGTTGATAAATTCCTATTTTACATACCCAGATGCCCAAGTCCCAACACAAAGAGAAGAGCATTACAGCAGAAAAGGGAGAATGTGTGCAGGGAAAGGGTAAGAAAGTGGGAGTGAAAACAAAGTTAAACTCATCTTTCTACTAGACCAATATAGACAAAGGTGAAGTATAGCTACCATCCCTTCAGGTCACCAAACAGATAAAGAGATGCTGACCTGTTTCTCACCAATGAGCAGATTGGATTTAATCAGTAGTGGGCACTCTAGCTCATTATCTCCCCTACTCTTGCCTAGTTGGTTTATACTAATGCAGTTTTCTTTTCCTCTAGAAAAACTTTCTGCAGGATGATTAATCAATTTCATTGGCACCATTTTCATCAATTATTCTAGACATTTGTTTCAAATAATCTTGCAAAAAAACATATCATGGTTTATTGACGGTACAACAGCAGTCAACACAATTTACCGTTCAACATTTTGCCAATAGATTGTTATAAGCGGATGCACACTGTGTACTGTAACAACGTTTGAGAAAGCAATAAAAAAAATCTGAACAAAATCCTCCCAAATGATCGGAGGCCAATCGTCATCTTCTGTGCTGTAAATTTCTATGGTTCTATGAAGTGAGATGATTGAGTTGGAGCCACAAGATGATTTAATAGCTCCAACGTTTGAAAATGATAGCATTAAAGTATTAATGTGGCTGTTAGAGCATTCATGGATGTGCATTGTCCTCACCTTTGAAAGAGACTTTTGAATAATTCAATCTCCTCCATTCAATGACTCAAAGCAGCACCTAAGCAGTTAATAATTGAAGTGCACAAAATGCATTGTGTGTGAGAATATCTGGGAACTGACCTGTACATTGAAACAATTCGTCTTTCTTTCCATGGTCTCTTTCATCTCCACAATTTCTTTCTGCTTTTCATCAATAATGGCAATCTTCTCCTCTTTGGCAGCTACTGCTGAACTGTACTTCAACTAAAGAACAAAGAGAGAAAAGCTGATTTCAATTTTATTGCCTACTTCACGAGTACTGCATTAGTCGTTTTAAATACTACTCGGGCAACCAAAGATGCAATTCTAAATTATTCCTCAATGGTGTGTAGAACTAATGAGCGCTTTACATTTATTTTAAGAGCTTTATGCTTTAACTGCAAAATTAAACGGTTAATGTAAAGTCTTAAGTCACCTTTCAATATCAGTTTCCCAACTTTAAAATTTTGGGGGGGATCTTCTACAGTGTACATCATTTTCTTCTCGAGACAAGACAAATGGGTGACCAACTTTCCAGACTTCTGTCTAACTTTGGCTTTTGAATTGACCTCTAGCTGCTGTACAGTTAGACTAATTTTACCCCTCTCTTTATGGTAAAGCACGTGGCCTTCATTTTAGTTCATACTTATGGTATAGCCAAAGACTAAAGCCTGCATCCCGTCACTGATATGATGCACAAGTATATTACTGAGGTTACTGCTTCTTAAAGTTAATTGATCTGTTATAAGAAGAAATGCAAACATAAGGAAAAACTGCAAAATGTACAAGTTCCTGGTCTGTTAATTAATACTCACCTTGATCTCCTCTAATTCTTGGGTCAAGGCAGAAACAGCCTCTGTTTTTTCACTCAACAAACTTCTCATTTCTTGTGTTTGATTCATCAAGACAGTAACCACTTCCTGTAGAAAGATCAATGGGTTGATTGAATAGATGAAAGCTACATCAACAGATCATCTTTAAACTATATTTGAAAAACAACAAATGCCAGAATGCTTGATCCAGATTCTCAATTTTCACCATCTGCTCATTTTAGTCCAAGACAATGGTTCAGTCATCTCTTTGAGTGTTTAAAATATTGACATTTTTTTTTAAATCCAATAAACACTTTTAAAATACAACACTTTAAAAATCCAAACACCAGAAAAACAATAAGTTTTCAAGACTCCAATCCTTTCCAAAGTTTAAACTTCAGATTTACTAATATTTTCTCACGTAAAGCACATTTAACAAAAAAATGCAGGCTAACCAAACTATATTAAAACACAAGAACAAAAGCAAGACAGCAGTGCCATCTTTTGGCCTTTGAAAATCTGTACAGACATGTTATTGCAATTACACAGCTACAGGAAAAGTTGGTTATTTCAGTTTTTCATAAGGATGGAGAAATGTCACAGTTTTCTTATCTATTCAGTGAGACATTTCATAGGCACACCACAGTTTGGTTAAATTGTGAGTTGAACCAATAATCTTGGAACCACATTTGAAGAGGTTTGACAGACTTCATTGCCTTGCTCTGGTACTTTCAGTAAAAGTAGACTTAATGTAGTACAGAACCTTTAAGATAATAAATATCCAAATTTGATGTAGTTTCAAGATACAGAAGCCATATCTTTGGGAGAGTAAATGGAAGTTACATTTCTAAGTGGACAGTCAGCTCAATGGACATGGGGACTTTTCCTATCCACGTTCTCTTACATTGTTGTAGTGCTTTTTTGCAGAAAAGGTTATTTCACCAAGTAACAACAAAAGTTAAGTGAAAAGGTTTGAAATTTGCCTTTACTTGTAAACATTCTGTACAAATATATACACGTGGCATCATTCTTTCCCCCCCTCATGATGGTACAAGAAGCTCACCTTATCAGCAGTGCATGCTCTCTCAAGGTCACCAATATTTCTTCTTGAATCAGCCAAGCTCTGTTCTAGATTTTTCAATTCTATCACCTTCAAAAAAATAAAAGCATGGGGAGGCGGGGAAATCAAATGTTAGTGTAATTTCTCGTTGTCAACTTTTTCTAATTGCACATCATATCACTAGGGAGAGGACCTGGATTTAATTCCCGGCAGGGCGAAACCTTAGGCTAGTTTCCTTACTCCAAATGCTGCGGTTTACCTAGCAGTCAGTAGGAACCCAGTTGTTAGTCGATTAGTGGATTACTTTTCAAGGGGTAATAATCCCCCAAAAAGGTTTTGTTTTTTAAAAATTGGTTACTCAATCCCAGACTGTTTGTGGGACACTAATATGCACAATTGGCTGTCAAGTTTTCGTCTACAAATAATCTATTCACTTTACAATATTGTCTTTGAAGCGCTTTGAGGCTTCTCAATGAGCATTATTATTACTATTGTTGTTTCATAAACGCACTAGAGCATTTGTATAAAACAGATTGACAGCTGTACTAAAACCTAACCCTAGAATAAAACATAGCAACATCTCCCTACTTCTTCCATCCCAGCAGCACAGCAGAAGAATATCAAACTCAACTGTAAGGGTAGAAAGTCTCATGGAGGAAAGAAACAAATACACACAAAGGTTTTGTTCACATACTTGCTGTTCAGACTTTGCATTCAGTTCAGAGTATTGTTTCTTCAGTTGGTCATTCTCATCCAAAGCTTTCAAAAGTTCCCTGTATGAAACATTAATGACATGGTTAAAAGAAAAGCTAAAGTTCAGATTTTTTTAAAAAAAACAAATTAGGTATTATTTTGACAATTGTATTGGAAAAAAAGAACTTTTTTTAAAGCTTTTGTTTAAAAAAGCCAACCTAATCTTACCTCTCGTTAGCCCATTCTACAAGGTGCAGGTTGTTTCAACATTATCTATGTGGGTATGTTTTATAAACTTACTTGGAATTTGTCTCTATATCTTCTTTAAGCTGCGAAGCAAGTTTTTGATTTCGTTCCTTTTCGGTTTCTAAAAGTTTCATCACAGGCTATATTTAATGAAAGCAAAAGATGTGTTATTTCTGAATTGAATGAACGCGGCTTAATTTTAAATAATAATAATCCTTGCATTTGATATAGCTCTTTTCATGTCTTCCAGACATTTCAAAGCACTTCACAGAATATACTGGAAGTGAATTAGATGAGTTCAGTGAGGATCCAATGTTATGCAGCTATGCAATTTACCCGTTAAGCTGTATAAAAAGCTGGACTTGTTTTTAATTGGTCATTTCCAACAAAAATATCTAACTTTGGTTGGAAATACTTCCCAGTGTAATGAAGCATTCTTTATAACTCAATCCTAAATTGCATTAGATCCATATTTATCACATCACTTGTTTTAAGAATTAACTAGTTTTATGCTGAAAACATTTACCAGGAACCAGATTGAGGGATGTCAAAAGCTATATTGGAGACCATAGAAGCACTGGCCTAGACTGTGAGCTCAGGACCTAAATTGGTAGACCTAAATTGTTAAATTATCCAAGCACTAGATCACCCAAGAATTAAAATATGCATCCAGTACTTTTAATGCACTGGAACATTTTTGCCATCTTAGCCTCCAAATTCACTGTTTATTCTTTGCAATATTTTGTGTTTGATGGATCTCAGAAAAGCATGTTAATGTGTCTGCATATTTTAATTTATGTTCAAAGTAAACTGCTGTCTTTTTCACTTAAAATCCTGGTTGCATTAACCACACCACATTTATCCCCTCACAGGGACCTGAGCCACTTTGTTGTAGGCATCTTTCCTCTGAACTGTCCCAACTATATGAACTCGCCAACCAAAGTACAAAGGAAGACAGAAAACAAAATCCATAAAGCGTTTTCTTTCAAAAGGAAAAATCTCTACGTTAAAGCAAAGAGAGCCTGCAATACAGTATAAATTAAATAGGTCTCTGGCACTAGCAGTTTACAGAGGATAAAAATAAAGCCAACACAACACTCATGCTTTGCAGCTGCATAGCCTTCAACCATTGCTTTCTATAAGATACTTTGCAGTTTCAAACAGAATCTTCTCCACAAAAATATTTGATAAATTACACTAATAATCCTTGCATTTAATATAGCATCTTATCACGTCATTGAGACGTTTCAAAGCGTTTCACAGAATATACTGTAAAGTGAATATTTTGAGGGCGTAATCAACTAAGATAATAACAAATGAATGACTACTTATGTAGGTTTTAATTGAAAAAAATTGAGACGCCTTAATGTGAAAGGTGCTATAAAAATGCAATTTGTTATTGTATTTGTTGTTATCCACATGTTTAAACACTTTCCCTTCTCTTACACTCATTTCAGTTCTTAATACTTCGGCTTCCTCCTTGGTTTGTAGCAGTTTTGCACACAGTTGATCTGCCTCATGTGCTTTGAACTCAACAACCTCTTGTAAATTATCATAGGCATCTTGGAGGGAACGCTTTTCTTCCAGATTCTTTTCATGTTCCAATCTAGTGTTAAAAAATACTCATTACAGTAACATTCAATTTTTTTGGCTGTACATCTTAGGTTAGCCTTCATCTCTATCTAACAACCTGCCAAAGTATGTCATTTTATCAGGTAAAGAGAAAATTGAACAAAACACAAAATACTGCAAACGCTGGAAATCTGAAACAAAAATAGAGAGAGCTGGGAAAACTCAGCAGGTCAGGCAGCATCTATGGAGATAAAAAAAATTGAAAGTGAGTCAACGTTGCGGGTCCACGACCCTTCGACAGAACTGGGGCATGTTGGGAGGGAGAGGCAGGATAAGGACGACAAAAAAGAAGACAAAGGAGAGCATGTGTTAGTTGATGGGTTAAAGAGGTGATAGTGGTGTAAAACAAAAGTGGAGGTGGGTTGAAACAAAACTGGGGAGAAGAGGTGTTAATAGTGCAGAGCAGGAAACACATCAAAGAGAGGCAAAGAGTGCCTGGGGTAATGACTTTAATGATAACTCTTCTGGTAACAGAAAGAGGGAGGGGGGGGAGGAGAGCTGTTATGGTTTGACATTGCTGAAATCGATATTAAGGCCAGAGGGCTGTAGGGTCCCTAGCAGATAGATAAGATGTGGAGTCCTGTAGCTCAGTGGTTGGAGCACTCGCCTTGCAAGCGAGACACCTGGGTTCAATTCCAGGCAGGGCGAAACCTTGGGCAAGTTTCCTTACTCCACACACTTGATAATAATCCCTCCAAAACAAAACAATAATAAATTAGTCATTTTCAATCCACCCCTGTTTGTGGGACAATTGCTGTGCTCAATTGGCTGCTGCGATTCACCCACAAATATACGGTCAATTCACTTTAGTCTGCGAAGCGCTTTGAGACGTCGAGGAGATATGAAAAGCGCTATATCAAATGCAAGGATTATTATTATAAGATACTGTTCCTCAAGCTTTCGCTGTGGATCATTGGAACAGCGTAGGAGGCCATGGATGAAGAGGTCAGACTGTGAATGGGAGTGTGAGTTAAAATGGCAGGAAATTGGAAGATCAGGATTGACCATGCGTACAGAACGAAGGTGTCCTAGCCAAAGTCCTAGAATGTGTTGTTGCCAATCAACTCCGTGCACACCTCTCCTCCCAGTTGCTCTTTGAACCCCTCCAATCCAGTTTGTGCCCTGCCCACAGTACAGAGACTGCGCTTGGGTAAGTCTCAAATGACATCCTCTTTATTTGTGACCAGGGCTCCCTCTGCCTCCTTGTCGTCCTGGACTGCTCCACCGCTTTCTATACAGTCGATCACGCCATCCTCCTTCACTGCCTTTCCTTCGTCATCCACCTCAGTGGGACCGCACTCGCCTGGTTCGAGTCCTACCTCACAAACCGCCAGCAGTACATCTGCACAAACGGCTTTTCCTCCCGCTCTTACCCGGTTACCTGTGGGGTACCCCAAGGATCCATCCTTGGCACCCTCCTCTTTCTGATCTATATGCTCCCTCTTGGGGATGTCATCCGCAGACAAGGGGTACACTTCCACATGTATGCGGATGACACTCAACTCTATTTTTCCACCTCAGTTTCCCAGTTCTCTGATGTTCTGTCAACCTGCCTGTCAGACCTCAGGAGCTGGATGCACTCTGAGATGCTCCTTCAGCTAAATGTTGACAAGACGGAAGCCATACTCTTTGGCTCTTGTCAACGTCTAAAATCGCTTGGCTCTCACCTCCTCCACCTATCCAACCCCATCCTAAAACTCTTCGAACCCGTACGTAACCTAGGCTTCAGGTTCGACCCCTAATTATCCTTTCTCCCCCACATCCAGTCCCTCACCAGCACCACTTTCTTCCACCTCCGATGCATCGCCCGTCTCTGCCAATACCTCAGTCCAAAAGCCGTTGAAACTCTGGTCCATGCCTTTGTTACCTCTTGGCTGGACTATTCAAATGCCCTCCTCGCTGGTCTCCCCTCGACTACCATTCATAAAATCCAAGCCATTCAAAAATCTGCCACCTGCATTTTCACCTGTACCAAACTGCTCCACGATTACCCCAGTCCTTGCCAGACTGCACTGGCTGCCTGTCCCAGAGAGGACCGACATCAATATCCTCACTCTTGTCTTCAAATCCCTTTCACTCCTCTGCACCCCCCTACCTCTCTGACCTCCTCTCTCCTCAAAACAGTGCCCGTTGCCTTTGTTACTCCGGGTCTGGCCTCCTCCTTGTCCCCCGAATTCTCCGCTCCACCATTGGCTGCCGTGCCTTCAGCCACTATGCCCCGAGGCTCTGGAACTCCCTTCCTCAATCCTTTCGCCTCGCCCCCTTCCTATTTTCAGGTCTCGGCTGAAGACCTTTCTTTTCGACCACACCTTCGGTCACCTTCCTCCCCCTCTCCCTGGCTGAGCCCCGGGACCCGTTACTGTGAAGTGTTCTGAGATGCCGTCAGGGGTGTAGGGTGCTATATAAATCCAAGTTGTTGTTGCTTTGCAAATTGGCCACCCAATCTGTGCTTAGTCTCCCCAATATAGAGGAGACCACACCGTGAGCAGGATACAGTATACTATATTGGTGGAAGTACATGTAAACCGCTGTCTTACATGGAAGCTGTGTTTGGGACCTTGAATAGTGGTCTGGGAGGAAGTGAAAGGGCAGGTGTTACATCTCCTGCACTGGCATGGGAAGGTGCCAGGGGAAGGAGAGCAGCTGGTAGTGCTGACAGCGGAATGAACTAAGGAATCCCGGATCCCTTCGGAATGTGGAGAGGGGAGGGAAATATGTGTTTGGTGGATGAGTCACCTGGAGGTGCTGGAAATGTCGGAGAATGATTTGCTGAATCTTGAGGCTGGTGGAGTGGTAGGTGAGGACTAAGGGGACCCTATCACGGTTCCGGGATGGGGGGAAGGGGTGAGGGCAGAGGTGCAGGAAATAGGGTGGACACTGTCAACGGCCTTGGCTATTACTGTCAATGGGAATCCTCGGTCAAGGAAAAATGAGCACATCTCGGTTGCTTTGACATGGAAGGTTGCATTGTCAGAGCAAATGCAGCGGAGAAACTGGGAAAATGGAACGCCGTTGTTGCCGGAGGCTGGGTGGGATGAGGTGCAATCAAGAGAGAATTGAATTTTGCACTGATCCCCCCCTTTCGTCAGTTTACCCTTAAAGAATGGCTTTTTGGGGTAAAAAGAGACCAAACTGAAAGCAGTAGCTTCCTCAAATGCTCAGTTATTGTAGACAGGATTAAAGAAACAGAAATTGCCCCTGAATGGAAAACAGCCAATCCTAAACTCCAAATCACAAGAAACAAAATCAAAACCATAAATATTTGACAAATGATTACAATGAAAATATTTTCAACCCAATTGGTGTACAGGACAGATATCACCTAAATCAAAAAACATCACTAGTAGCACTTGACGGATCATACCTGATGTTATCCAGCTGTAAATGGACATCGACAAGCTTGTCAGAAAGCTGGCTGTGTTCTGCATCTTGCTTGAGCTTGTAAGTGCTGTATTCGTCTTTTACCAAAATAAGCTCCTTGTCAGCTGAACACAGCACGACTCGAAGGTCGTGTACTTCACTCTGCAATACTGTCAAAACAAAATCACTGTGGTCACCAGGTCACAATCCAGTAGGATTAATCAATATTGAGAAATATTCCAAAACAGCAAATTTTGCAGGAAAGAATATTAGCACTATTGATCCAATTACTTTTAAAAGGTAACATTTGACTTGTAAACATGAGCGCTTTTAGGATCCCGTTTAATTGAAAAAAGACCATTTGCAAAACACCAGTTCAGTGAGCATTTGATTATAATTATTGATAAGGTTAAATCCATCTCCTCCCTTCCTTTTCCCCACAAGCACAGGTGGAATTTCACCATTTGTGATAACAATCATCCATTAAATTTGATGTAGCTCCCACAATGTGAAGAATGTCTTGAAGTGCTTCAGTAAAGCATAGTGTTTCGGTAAAAAAAAAACATTTGTAGGCGAACTTGACAGACAGGAGGGAATGTTCTTAAAGATGGCTGAACTGGCTCCAAGGTGATATGCTTGGCAACAGAATGTTGGAATTAAGACTATCCTCTTTGGCGGTCTCAGTAGAACAGATGCTGATGGCAGCTCAGCCAGCCTGGCTCATCGGATTAGTTAATTAATCCAATTAATCTTGGACAGATTAGTTACTGGAGGCAGATTCTTCAGCTCCTGCAAGCTCCAAGGGATGTCCAAGCTGGATAAGCAGCAGGAAAGTTTTCCAGGCAGTGTTTTCAACAGCAAACTATGGGGTTTTAGCTGGTTGGATTATGGTTTGCAGTACTCTAATGCACATTTTGGGGTCGCCAAGTATTGCCTCTGCCAGTCTGCGCATAATATTCACCTAGTATTAGGTACTAGGCGAGTATTAGGGAGCACCGTCTTCAACCATGCTTACGGTCACCTCCCACTCCGGCGCGGAGTCAAGCTCCACTACTGTTAAGCACTCTGAGATGCTACCCTGTGTGGAGGGCGCTGTATAAGTGCAAGTTGTTGTATCAGTCAAGCAGTATCAACTCTTAAGCATGGTAACGGGCTTCTGCATGTGTCAGACACCCACTGAATAAAAAAAATGGGTTTTGAAGGCAGTGAGAGGGTGTGTGCCAGCGGTGAGATTTCATAAGAGATTTCCAGAGGGCAGAAACAAAGTGGTTAAAGCAGGCCTTCTGATAGAGGAAGGGCATGAGTAGACAAGGATGAGCACAACAAACCTAATATTGGAAGAGAAAACAGACACAGAAGAGAAACGCCTACTTGAAACGCTCAATTCTTTAGTTTGGATACTCTTGATTATAGTCCTGAGTGTCCATGTGCACCTGGCACAAATGTTAATGAATGTGCACTGATCACAACATAAAGCAGTGAGGGATGCAAAACCTGTACTTGATTTAGGATTTACCTCACTAGAAAGACAACAACTTGCACTTATACAGCGCCCACCACACAGGGTAGCGCCTCAGAGCGCTTAACAGTAGCGGAGCCTGACTCCGAGCTGGGGGGAGATGGCCGTAAGCATGATCGAACAGGAAAGTTTTCAGGCGGGACTTGAAAGAGGGGAGGAGGCAATGCGGTGGGATTGAGGGAGAGTGTTCCCGATTTTTGGGGTGTAGTGGCTGAAAGCACAACCTCCAATGGTGGGGCGGAGTGGGCGAGGGATGAGCAGGAGGCCGGTGCCAGTCGCGCAGAGGTGCTGCGTGGTGGATTGGGGAGTGAGGAGGTCGGAGAGTTAGGGAGGTGCCAGGGAGTGAATGGATTTAAACACGAGTGTGAGGATCTTGAAGTCGATCTGTTCAGTGATGGGGAGCCAGTGGAGCCTGGCAAGAACTGGTGATATGTGGGTACGGAGTTTGGTCCGGGTTAGTATGCGGGAGGCAGAGTTTTGAATGAGCTGGATCTTGTGTTTTGAGATGGAGCAGGGGAGACTGGCGATAAGTGGGTTGGAGTAATCCAAGCGGGAGGTGACAAACGCATGTACGAGGGTTTCAGCAACATTTGGGGCCGCAAAGACATAAAAATTGAAGTAAGCAGGCTCCTCTCCTATAGCAAGCTCCGTGAACCACCATCCTCGCACTGGTCCACTGGTTCTCAGAGGATTGGGTTTAAAATCCTCGGCCTCACTTTTAAAGGCCTCCATGGCCTTGCTCCTCCCTACCTCTGCGACCTCTTAACACCATATCAACCTTCCCACTCCCTCCGTTCAGCGGGCATTGGTCTGCTCCTTGTTTCCCTCCCAGTTAGGCTTCAGCTTTTCTGCGCCCACCCTCTGGAACTCCATCCCCAAATCCCTTCACCTCGTCTCTTCCCTCACCTCCTTCAAGGCCCTTCTCAAAATCTTCCTCTTTGACTCTGCCTTCAGCCACATCCCGCCTCCCCAACTCTCTTGATTCCAATCCCCTGCTCAGGTGCAAGCCCTTAACTGTCCAGTGCCCAGGGATGTCCTTCTGATATGAAAGGCACTATATAAATGTAATTTGTTGCTATTAAGACTTCTAATAAAATTATTTTCAAACCTTCTGGAAATCAATGCTACAAAGTGCAAAATCATTTGACCACAGTAAGCAATTGAGACCATATTCCACCTACGATTGTTTTGGCCCTGCATTTCTTGAAGTTCTTTCTCAAGTGATCTAGTTTTGGTAACAAGCTCCTGCTGTTCCTTGTTCCTATCAGTTCGTTCAGAAGAGAGAAGCTAAAAAAAAACATATACTGACGTGAATCACTTCATACAAAAATAAAGCAGCAATTGTACCTTTCAACACTCCTCCATCTAGAGGTTTATATTAATTTAAGCAAAGGCATGCTCATTGGACCCGGGAAAGAAAAAACAAAATCACCCAAGTAAACTCAATCATGGCCTGGGAACACTTATAACCAGTAAGGTTGAGAATGAATTAAAATTAACATTTGTAACATTAAATTAAACATTAAGTAACATTAAATTAAGAAACATACAAACCTCATTTATCTGAGCAGAATGATGTTCCAGTTTATCGAATTGCTGTTGAAGCTTCACCTTTTGGCTCTCCTCTTCGTCCAGTTTAGTCTGCGTATTAGCCAGTTGCTCCTAAAACATGACAAAATGTTGTTTCATTTTCTTGACCTACTAAAATATTGTTTGATAATACAACTACCCTACAAATGTGAAAAACATAAAATCTTTTAGTTTTCCATCATGCCCCCTTCTTTTCCTCATCTACATGCTTTCTCTCAACGATGTCATCCGCAGACATGTATGCGGATGCCGCCCAAATCTACTCCTCCTCCTCCAGCTGCGACTCAGTCCGCTGATGTCCTGTCAGCTTGTTTGAAGGACATCAAGGCCTGGATGAGTGCAAATTTCCTGCAGCTGTATAATCTGTATAATATACCTAATCTGCAAATTTAAAAGCCAGTGAACATGAATAATTGTTTACTGCTATATATTACCTAGAACTGTAAGGGAATACTTACCTGCACCATTTGAAGTTCCTTAGCAATGGCTTCGTAAGCCTGTTCATTCATGTCAAGAGGCAAAGACTCATTCATAGTATCACCTCCCTGACTCCATGCATTTGCTTCTCCATAAGCACTAGGTGTTCCATCAGGACTCATTCGTAAAACCAATCGAGACCGAAGATTGTAAGCGGCCTTAGTTGGAGTAGTCAAACTCTAGTGAAAAGATTATATAGAGTATAAAAAAAGGCATTGAGGACCACAAAGAATTGATCTTTGTATAACAATTCATACAATCATAGAATTATGCAGCAGAGAAGGAGGCCATTCAGCTTATTGTGTCTGTGCCGGCTCTTTGAAAAGAGCTATCCAATTGTACTCTCCTGCTCTGCAAACTGTCCTCCCCAAATAATTATCTTCTCTCTTAAAAGTTGTTATCAAATGGGCTCCACCACCCTTTCAGGCAATGCATTCCAGATCCAAACAACTCGTTGTGCGAAAAAAATTTCTCCTCACCCTTCCTGTTTCTTTTAACAACTACTTTAAATCAGTGTCCTCGGGTTACCAACCCACCCATGAGTGGAAATAGTTTCTCCTTGTTCACCCTATCGAATCTCCTCATAATTTTGAATACCTCTATTAAGTCTCCTCTTAACCTTCTCTGTTCCAAGGAGAATAATCCTAGCTTCTCTCGCCTCTCCTCATAACTGAAGTCCTTCATTCCTGGTAAATCAGCTTTGCACCCTCTCCAATGCCTTGACATCCTTCCTAAAGTGTAATGCCCAGGCCTAACCAGTGTTTTATAAAGGTTCATCATAACTTCCTAACTCTTGTATTCTATGCCTCTATTTATAAAGCCTAGAATTCCGTATGCTTTTTTAACAACTTTATCTACCGTTCTGCCACCTTCAAAGATTTGCTTATATGAACCCTGAGATCTCTCTGTTCCTTTACCCCCTGTAAGATTGTCCCATCAGCTTATATTGCCTCTCCTCATTCTTCCTCCCAAAATGCATCACTTTGCATTTCTCCACATTAAACTTCATCTGCCACGTGTCTGCCCATTTTACCAGTCTGTCTATGTCTTGCAGTCTGCTACTATCCTCCTCACTGTTTACTACTTTTCCTAGCTTACTATCATCTGCAAACTTGGAAATTGTACTCCTTATACCCAAGTCATTTATGTAGATCAAAAAAGAGCAGTGATCCCAATACCGACCCCTGGGTGACAGCACTGCACACTTCCCTCCAGTCAGAAAAACAACCGTTCATCACCACTCTCTGCTGCCTGTCTCCCAGTCAGATATGTATTCATGCTGCCACTGTCTCTTTAATACCATGGGCTTCTATTTTGCTTACAAGTCTCTTATGTGGCACTTTATCAATTTGATTCACACATATCATCAAGGCTCCCTGCTTAAAGCCAAGGAACCCAAATATGGTATCACAAGTAGGATCATATTTACAACATGGTTAGCATTCAAGGATAATCTCAATGCATTCAATTCTCTACCACAACAAAGCTATTTATAAATTTGCCATTGTGCTCAATTCCTTGGTACTTCTTGCATCTTTAAAACCCTTCAACAAAATCAACATAAAATGTTTTACAGGTGGAGGAATCTTTTCCTCAATTTTTTTCTTGAAATTAGGTTAATTGTCCATGACAATGTACCTTTGGTATCAAAGGTGTTGTGCTGAAACATTTTTACACTGGGATAACTTCAATGGAGCTCATTACAAATTTATTTTAATTGCAATTCCTTGTGCTAAGTCGCAGTGCCACCACCCCCACCTCCACACTGCACACTCAATATGTCCACAAAGATGAGTTAACTGCAAAACCAATGATCCACCTCTGTTGTGCCTTAATTCATTTGCTTAAATTCTAAATTCCAACTGATAAGTTTATGAAAACGAGTCCTGAGCATTAATCTACAAATTCCATCTTATCCTAAATTTGGCTGCTTACACCCTTACTTGCATGTCCATCACCACCATCCTCCACTGTCAGCAGATCAACTTCTATAATATTCACTCTCACCTGTAAATCCTTACATATCCTTGTCCTCCCTACTTCTGTGACATTCTCCAGCTTTCTTCTACTTGCCACTTCCACTTGGCAAACTTGAGTCTGCAGTTCACCCTTGCAACACCTCACCTTTGGAAGTCAAGATCTTAGCTACTCTGGAACTCCTTCCTTAAACCCATTCTGCTTGACCTTCTTTGAAAGCATTCTGAAAATGTACATCTTCAACTCTGCTTAACAGTCTCTTCCCTTATCCACCCTCCCAGCTTGGTGCCTTTGTAAACTTCTTTTGACACATTATCCTCCATTCAGCTACAAAATACACAAGAGTAAATCCTCCCAACATAAAAAGTGCTCTATCACATGCAAGGATGATTATTGTTACCTTAAAGATGCCACATAAATGCAAGCTGTTCTACTGTACAGTAATCTTAGATATTGAATTAGGTTTATTTCAGCAATTATCGAAATAAATAAGTACCTTAATGGTCTCAACATGCATCTTATTCAGTTGGGACACTTCTTGACGCTTATGAGCCTTTGTTGCCTCCAAAATGTTTTCTAGATGTTGGTTGGCTTTTAGCAAGCACTGAACCTCAGACTCAAATTCCATTTGTTTCTTCCTAAGAGTAACAAAGTTCAGTTATTTATCACATGATCTGGTCAGAACATTCAGCTACATGAGCCCAATTGTTTTATAGCTGGTCAGTAGAAATCACATATTAGCCACTCTCCAACTACAAGTCAAAGGTTGTGGGTTCAGGCCCCACGTCAGAACATTTGAGCTCATAGTCTAGGCTGACACTCCAATGTAGTGCTGCACTGCTGGATGTGCCTTCCCTCAATTGAGACATTACACCAAAGTCCTGTCTCCCTCATCAGATGGATGTTGAAGATACCATGGCACAATTTGAAACGAGGAGTTTCTCCCACTGTACTGGGGGAAAACAATCCAAACTAAAATTGGCCATTCACGTGGTTGTTTGTAGGGCACTGCTGAGCACAAATTAACTGCTGCATTCACCACAAAACACAATTACTATACTTTACATTGTGAAACACTTGGCCATTAATGAGATAAGGTGCTGTATCCAATACAAGGATTATATTAACAATTGTTTTTACCTAGTCAGTTCCTGATACTCCTCATATTCTTGTTTTACAGAAGACATGTCACTCTGTGCTTGTAATAAACGAGCTTTTAATCTTTCTTGTGATACTGTGGAAATGTTTTCAATTGTTGTAGGAGTCAGGTGCAATGCTGGACCTTGGAAAAGAAAATTTTAACATTATATTGGAATGTTTAACAGTGATATTTAATAAAAGTAATTTTAATTTTGCAAGAGATTTAAAATTTGTGATTTGGGTCAATAGGAGTCTGGCTCAGTTGGTAGCACTGAGTCAAACGGTTGTGGGTTCAAACCCACGTCGAGACCTGGAACCCACAGTCAATGCTGACACTCCAATACAGCACTGGTGATGTACTGCAATGTCAGCGGCGCTATGTTTGGATTACCAAGACCTTGTACCCCTGTACAGGTGCACATTAAAAATCACATGGCACTATTTGAAAAGAGAAGGGAATTTCTCCCAGTGTCTTGGCCAATCAATCTTCCAGATAAAATAGGTCATTCATTCCAAGACTGTTTGGGGGACATTCCTGTGCATAAACTGGTTACCCTACAAAAGGCAGTCAGACTACTTTACGGTCCAACCTGTGAAGTGCTTGGAGATGTCTTGACGACATATGTCAAACGAAAAGATTATTAATATTCAAGCTGTCACCTGGTAGAACAAAAAAAACTGTATTTTGATAACCATTAAGTTTGACATAAGTTGTTTAACTCAGTTTTCAAACAGCAAAAGTTACAAAAATATTGGTTACCTCCAGCATTTTTCTCTGAAGATGAGGCCTCCAAGAATGCCTTTTCCAGCTTGCAGCTTTGTGCAAGGTAATATCACCCGCACGCTTCACACTCTCTAATGAACGAAGGTACTTATTTTCTTCCCTTAGACCACGGTTCTCCATTGCATAGCTGACAACCCGAGGATCTTGCTCAATCTAGTGCATAATGCAAGTCTCGTGAAGTTTATAGGAAAATTGGCCACACAAAATTAGATAAAAGCTTACATTTATTACCCAATTTTACTGAAATCTTTTCATAATCAGGGTTCATACCCTCTAAAGCCCTGAAAAAAGTCTTCAAGTCTTGGTGGCTAAAACAATTATTTTACCCTCATCCCACAAGTTATCAGTTAACAACTCCCTCCCCCCATTAAAAAAAATTGACCCTCTGCCAATTGCTCGCAACTCCTTCCATCTTGAAACCAGAGGCACAGAGTGAGCCACATCCCGCAGACAGGACTTTCCCATTTAGACACATATCTCACAAGATGATGAAAAGCAGAGATAAGGCATTGTGTGGCATGAAAAAAATGAGCAGATTTCCCAGTCATCACTGCTGCTGACATCACTTCCTACTCGCTATGCATGTACAAGAAGCTTTGCTGACATCACTTCCTTCATGAAGCAATATCAACAGTGTTTTCTGCGCAGTCTGCACAAAGTGACATCAGCACGATGTGACAGCTTGAAGTCAGCCATTTTTAATGGATGAAGATGACTAGTCAGTGCCAAAATGTCAGGTGTACCACATGTCCACATGTACCACATTTGTGGAGTCCTGTAGCTCAGTGGTTAGAGCACTCGCTTTGCAAGTGAGAGACCTGAGTTCAATTCCAGGCAGAGGGCGAAACCTTGGGCAAGTTTCCTGACTCCACACAGAGCCTAATAATAATCCCTCCAAAACCAAAACAATAATAAATTGGTCATTTTCATTCTACGACTGTTTGTGGGACATTGCTGTGCGCAATTGGCTGCCGCGTTCGCCCACAAATATACAGTCAATTCACTTTACAGTGTGTTCTGTGAAGCGCTTTGGGACGTCCTCCCGACGTGAAAAGCGCTATATCAAATGCAAGGATTATTATTATTATTATTATGTCCAGTGAATGCGGGTCTAGAAGCGAGGCAATGCTGGATCAGGTCTAATATAACAGGATTAAAGTGAACAAGGTGCGTATGGATAGGAACACATTTATACAATGTGCTATGTTTGGGCACCATCAACCATTTACTGACATAGTAGATCTTCTCCTGGTAGGCACTCAAGTCTGGGTTGAAACCCCTAAAAGCCCAATTTGTACACAACTTATCACCTGAATTCCAGGGGGAAAAAAAATTCTTGTTTGAAAGGTAGTATCATTCCAAATGGATTCAATACAGGTCAAATAGGGATTAGTCTGTTTTTTTTAAAAATGAAAATTCTACTGGACAGTGATCAAGATTTTATATTTTCAATTTCTGAATTTGTTTGATATATACTGCAGAGCCTATCTTTTATATTATAGTTAGAGAAGTCAACAGAATCATATTCTTGTATTCTCTTAAAATATGCAACTTAGTTAAAATACTTGATATTTTACTGCTAAACTTTTCGCCCACAAATTATTTCACTGTACAGTATACTCTGAAAGTATACTCTGAAGCACTTTGAGACATCTCAACGACACGGTAAGGCACTTCATCAAAGTCAAAGATCATTATTATAAAATTTCTTACCTGTTCTTTTAAAGTTTGAATTTCTTCCCTCAGCTCACCAATCACAGAATCTTTCTCGTCAAGAGCCAGGCCACCACAGGATTCCTTCTGGAGCTTTTCTAGACGTGCTATGTTAGTTTCTCTAAACTTCACAATCATCTTGTTAGACTGAAGTATCTTTTCTTTTTTGGCACACAGATCTTTAAGTTGACCAATTTTTTCCTTCAGGCCCTGAAAAGGTTACAGAACCGAGATGCAACAATCAGATAATCCATCTGAGCAGAAGAGAGCAGATGGCCCATTTACCTTCTCCCTATTGCCCACCGGGGGTGGTCAGTTTTTATTCATTTTTCAATTAGATTGTAGTACAGCGGAACTCCATTATAATACAGCAGTTGGAGTCCCTAAAATTCCAAGAAGCGCTATAATACAATTTACAGAGAGCTCAGTTTAAAATGCCAGCCACTTTTAGCAAGTTAAAAATAATAATCGCTGCATTCGATATAGCAGTTTTTCACTGTTGAAACATCCTGAGTGCTTCACAGATTATACTGTAGTGACTTCATATTTGTAGGCCAATGCAGCAATCAATTTGAGCACAATAATGTCCTACAAACAGCCATGAAGTGAATGATCAATCTTATTTAGGGATTTTTGGCCATGACATTGAGAGACTCCTCTCTTTGAATTGTGTTGTGGGATTTTTAACATCCACCAGTTAACACATACATTCAAAAAGGACTATTGATTATTGGAGGGAGAAAGACATGGAGTCATTGAATTAATGGCACTGAAAAGCAGGATGTGTAAAGTAAGTAGATTGGCAACAAACAGTGGAGTCCCGTAGCATAGTGGTTGGAGCATTCGCCTCACAGATGAGGACCCCGGTTCGATACCTGGTCGGGCCGAAATTTTAGGCAAGTTTCCTTAATCCACACGCCTGTTTACCTAGTAGTAAGTACGAACCAGGTTGTTAGTTGAATGGCGGATCACTTTCCGAGGGTAATAATCCCTTACAAAAAATAATAAATTTGGTCACTCGATCCATGGCTATTTTGGGACACTGTTGTGTGCATTTGGCTGCCGCGTCTGACCACAAATTAGTCAATGCTCTTTAGAGTATATTCTGTGAAAAACTTTTGACCTCTCAATGACACAATAATTTGCTTTATCAAATGCAAGGATTATTATTATAGCCAACAGGCTGGATGGCTGAAGCATAAGATGGGGATGAGAATGCTCAACATTTATTTTTGTTTCATGTTTTTTCCCCACTGTACTCCTAAAGGTTACAGTTCATGCATTGCACCTTACCCAAGTGTCCATTCTCAATATGATAGTGTAGAAAATTGGTGTCAGTCAGCAAGACGGGGGGTGGGGGGGTTGGGGCACAGGCAAGCCCCAATCCTGTCCTTACCTACTCTCTACACATAATCACCTACCATCAGAGGACACCTTGAACCTTCCTAATCTGCATGAAACAATTACATTTCTGAGAGTGGTTTTAAGGCTGTCAATTGAGGCTTAGGTCAAGCATATCCAACATAATAGAACGATAAAGTGAACGGAAAAAATTTACATAGAAAGTAGTGTTGTTACCAATACCACTGGGAGCTATAGTAGTTATAAATCCCTAACAGCACTGAAATGACTTCTTATAATTTGTGCAATCGAGTATACAATTCTCATCTTAATTCTTACATTATAAAAAAGGTCTCCAGCAAATCCCAAAGCAATCAGCACCATTATTACTTTTCTGAATTACAGCACTACTGTACAGTGGATTCACAGCACTTTCATTAACATTCATCAAGGAAGAAACCCATAGATCTTCAGAGAGAATGTTTCATTTATCCAAGTGAGACTGGAGTTAATTAACACTGTAACCAGGGAATGTCTCACCCCGGCTGATCCTGTTCTCCTACGTGCAGAATAAAATACAAACCTGCTTTTCACTTTCACTCTTCTCCCGGAGAAGCATAGCTTCCAGAAAGCGACTCTTCCACTCATTAGGATCTAATTCAGCTAGTTGAGAGTAAAGAAAACGTTGAAAGCATCCCATTTCTACTTGTGTTAACTCTGAAAACATTTTTTTTTAAAAATTGAAAACGCATTGGACTGCAAACCTATTAAAGGTGAAACTTCTTATCCACTTCCAACAAGACAGAAGCACAAACCTTGTTTATGCAAACCTCTGATAACAATGTTAACAAGGCCAATACATTTATTTTTCTGGAGTTTAGACTTTTTTAAAAAGCAGTGCGTTTATGTAGTAGACTCAAGGTTTACAGATTAAGAAGTGGCCTCTGAAATTAGGGTTTCAAGTGTTGATTATAGCATAAACAAGGAGTTTTTTTTAAAAAAAAAGCTCTTTCTTAAGATCCAGGCACCATAACAATAAGTGACATTGGTCTAAGACAATAAAAAAATGAATCAATAGTCAATGTGTATTTGTTCTGTGACAATTGTAATTACATCTCAAAACTATAATTATGCCTTCAGAATAGAAGCAAACCCAAGAGTACAAAACTGAGCAATATAGCAGGCTGAAAATGTTGAACTAATTATAAATTCCAATTCTAACTTCACCCAATGTCTACATACACAGGCAGAATCAATATGGCAAGATTGCTCTAACTGGTTGAAAATATGGAAATAAATTGTAATTGTGGGGCTATGTTACAGAAACAAGCAGATCAGATTATATATTTTAATTAGAGAATGATTTTACAATTAATCTAATTTAAAATTCAGTCACATGGGCTAGTTACTTTATTTCACTGGATGGGACCAGAATTGAAGGCTTAAGTTTATATGGTGGGTTCCTTACCTGTCATAACATTGCTGTCCTGTGATATATGTCCTGTCCTTTGCTCAGCAAGCTGCTCCTTCAACCTTTTGATCTCAGCCTGCAAATGACCTAAACTGCCTTGAGTAGCTTCATTTACTGTAGCCTAAAAGCAAAGGAGAACAAATATGTTTCTGTAATATCAAGTCAATAGATTAAGACCTACATGGTAGTAACTGATGAATCAGTGATCCCACAAATCAAATTTTAACTTCACCCAATCTCTACATGCACAGGCAGAACCAATTCAGATCTTTAAAAGGCAAAGCTTGGGAAGCAAAGGCATTAAGGGATGTGGAGAAAAGGCAGAGCAATGGGATTATAAGATCTGCCACGAACAAATGAACTGGTGGAACAGGAATGGTGGGCTGAATAGCCTCCTCCTGTTTCTATGATACTTTCAGCACAAGTCACTGGATGTCAAACAGGAGATAGAAACCTGGCCATTTTAAAAAAAATTAAAAATTATTTGAACAATCGCTTTCTCGCCCGGTGGCCAAGTCAAATTACCCCAACGAAATCGCAATGCATCATCTGGAATATAGTAGTAACATCACTTAGAAGGTTAGAATCACAATGAGGAGGCTAAAATCAAAACTTTGTTTTGACTGATATACCCTTTTATACTCACTTTGGCTTCTGGTACAAGGAGTTTAAGGTGTCTATGTCACTATTGAAATGCATCCTTCTGGCACCAACCAAATAGCTACAGTAAACTCCTGATACATCATCACTCCAAATGAAAAGAGCCCAGTGACTCTGTATCCAGGGTGACTATCTAGGAATGAGTCCTCCAGGGCCACAAAACGGTGCTGTAGCTGGGACAACACACATTGCAGTTTTGTGCTACACCCAGTTGTCAAGTATCAGCTAAATAGGTAGCACATGTAATGAATATTTAACACTTGTCATCTCACACTATGTTTGTCAGCCCCGAGGCTCTGGAACTCCATCCCCCAGTGCCTTCGCCTTGCTTCCTCCCTTTCCTCCTTCAAGGCCGGTCTCAAAACCTTTCTCTTTGACCGAGCCTTCAGCTCCCCTCTCGACTCTCTTCCTCCTCCTCGCTCCCTCCCTTCCCTCCCCTCACCCTGACCATTTCCCCCCTCCTCTCTCCCTCCCTTCCCTCCCCTCACCCTGACCATTTCCCCCCTGCTCGGGTCATGACCCAACTGTGCAGCGCCTTGGGACGTCCTCCTGACGTGAAAGGCGCTCTATAAATGGAATCTTGTTGTTGTTGTTGTTGTTGTCACTGATTTAGATTTTCTGTCACTTCCTTCTAAAGGGTTGTGACATATTCTACGTAGCTGACAGCAGGATCAGAAGTCCTGTATTATAAAGGGATTTTCTCCCACTTTTCCATATGCATAATAGTCATTTTTGCAGATAGCTCTTTGGGGTTAAGTTAAACCTTCTGAGGACCACCAATTCAGAAATTGATACTGGTTTACAGTCACAATTCTCCATTTTCATGTTTCACCAAGAGTTCGCTTTGAGGCCCCGCCACGGATTGAGCAGCTCAGCAACATTTTCCGCAATACAGGTAAATTCGCTTCGGTGATGCATCTGATATTTCACTCAAGGGAATGTGTAGGATGCTTATGTTATAAGAAGACTGATCAAATAAAGAGGGTCCGTATTCACATTTTGCATGGAAAGCAGCTGGATATTGACAATATATCCAGATAGTGATGCAAGTCATTTGATGATATAAGACAGTGCTTATCATCGGGAGTTCACTGTACTTGGTAACTAACACACACAACACAGCAATGGCACAAGGAAACCAGTGAGAAAACTACAACCTCATACTGTATGGTTTTCTGGCTTTAAGTGAACACAAATGACCCAAGAAACTTAAAACTTAAAGGTAGTACAAAAGGTGTCAAGTTACAATTAAGTTTGTAAACAAACATTTGGCAATGACTAGTTAATTAATCACATCAACTAAATTATAATAAAATAAAACTAACTGAACAATTTTGATCAGCGGAGATGTATAGATTGTTTAATTCAAAATGGTTTTCCAGACCAAAATGCCAAAATAAGTGTAGTATCTCTTAATTTGGTTAATTTAGGTTTTCTAAAAACATGATTTCAATATTATCTTGTAATTAGATTTAATTAATACACAGATTAAGTTACGTTGCTCCAATTTCTGGTTGAATTACAAATTCACAGGCGAGTGGCAACCAATATAATTTTGTGGACTAAAATACTCCTAGAACAACTGATTCTTCCTGGTGTACAATTTCACAGATAATGACAGCATTCCTATACCTCATCCAAGGAGCCATGTTTTCATGTACAAGATCAATTGTGTATGGGTAGGCTGCTTAACTGGAGGGCAGGTTAGTTGGCAAACATGCAAGTCTACTTCTATCCTCGTATCACCATGAAGTATTGAATAGCAATTTCAGTCAAATCCAGCAATCAAATCTGCAACATCCAGTCTGTGTGACAGGTGTTACCAAATGCAATCAATCATTGTTATTTTTTTAAAATAATTATTAAAAAAATTCACATATTACTGTTCAGTTACTTCATGCAAGATGCACACCAATATTCATGTTAACCAGCACTAAAGTTATCTTTAATAAATCCAAAAGTACAACTCACTTTATTTTTAATTAGCTTAGCTCTGCGAGCAAACTGAAGTGTAGAGAGCGTTTCACCAAAACATCTCGACCCAGGATGCACATTGGCAATAATGTAGGTTTTTGCATTTCCTCCCAGAGAATCCTGTAACAAAATTAATCATTAACGTTGACAAGTAAAGTTTGGTTCCACATATAGATATTGTATAAGGCTAATTTCCCAAGATATTGTATGACTTGACTGGGAACAAGATTTCTAATATAAGCAAATAAGAATAAAGTTTAACTTGTATTTAGACATGGGAATGGCTTTATCTAGAATTTGTAGATAATCTGTAATTTGTAATCTACAAATGATGAGTGAAAATAAGTATTTTTTTTAAATACTGTGTATAACAATTTGCTTAATAACAACAATTTGACTAAAAATGTGAATAATAATAACCCTTGCATTTGATATAGCACCTTATCACCACCAACCAGCTCCTCTGCCCTCCCTGACACGCCTCGCAAATTCTTTCCTCTGACTCTCACTGCGAGAAAATGCTGGACTTGAGTCCAAAATCGAGGGAATCCGCTCAGCTGCCACTGCCCTCCCAACTTCCACCCCCTCCCCACCCCCACCTCACACAACTACTCATCCAACAATTACCCATCCCTCCTTCCAAACCTTTGAACCTGTCACCCCATACTCTGTCTTCACCACCGTAACCTCCATGAAGCCCACCACCTGCCCCCTGAACTCTATCCCTACCCCTCTTCTTAAATCCCAACTCCACCTCCTTGCCCCAGTACTCGCCTACATCATTAACCTCTCCCTGTCATCGGGCATTGTTCCTCCCCCCCTTAAAACAGCCACTATCACCTCCACCTTAAAGAAATCTTCCCTCGACCCATCACAGCTATCCAGCTACCGGCCCATCTCAAATCTCCCCTTCCTATCCAAGGTCCTTGAGAGAGCTGTTGCCTCCCAGCTTCGCTCTTTCCTCTCCTCTCACTCCCTCCATGAACCCCTCCAATCGGGTTTCCGTGCTGCCCACAGCACAGAGACTGCTCTGGTCAAGGTCACAAACAACATCCTGACCATGTGTGACCAGGGCTCCCTCTGCCTCCTCGTCGCCTTTGACACAGTGGACCACTCAATGCCCCTCCACCGCCTCTCCTCCCACCTCAATCTTCAAGGTTCTGTCCTTGACTGGTTCAGGTCCTACATTTCATACCGCCTCCACTTCGTCGTGGCAAATGACTTCTCCTCCAGCCCCCGCACTGTCTCATGTGGTGTTCCTCAGGGCTCTGTCCTCGGTCCCCCCCTTCCCCCTCTACATGCTCCCCCTTGGTGACATCATCCGCAGACATGGAGTAAATTTCCACATGTATGCAGATGACACCCAACTCTACCTCTCTGCCTCCACCCTCAACTCCAGGACTACTGGCATCCTGACCGACTCCCTGTCCGACATCAAGTCCTGGATTAGGGACAACTTTCTCCAACTCAACATCAGCAAGACCGAGGCCTTCCTGATTAGCTTGTGTCAGCGCCTCAGCACCTCGGGCGCTGGCAGCATCAGCCTCCACGGCTGCACACTCAACCTCACTAAGCCAGTCAGGAACCTGGGCGTCTTGTTTGACCCTGAACTGTCCTTTCTCCCCCACATCCGTGCCATGACCGGCACTGCCTACCACCACCTCCGAAACATTGCCAGACTCCGCCACTGCCTCACCCCTCAGGCTGCAGAAACCCTCACCCACACATTCGTCACATCAAGGCTCGATTACGGAAACTCCCTCCTCATCGGCCTTCCCAACTCTTCCCTTCACAATCTGCAGATCATCCAAGACTCTGCAGCTCGTGTACTCTCACGCACCAGGTTCTGTGACCGCATCACTCCCACCCTCACCCGACTCCACTGGCTCCTCATCCCCCAGAGGATCGAATTCAAGATCCTTGTCCTCACTTTCAAGGCCATCCATGGTCTTGCTCCATCCTACCTCGCTGACCTGCTGACTCCTTACCAATCTGCCCGCTCCCTCCTTTCAGCGGGCTCCGGCCTGCTCCATGTCTCCCCCCCCCGACCCGCCCTACCATCGGTGGCCGGGCTTTCAGCCTCTCTGCCCCCACACTCTGGAACTCCATCCCATGGTCCCTTCGCCTCGCTTCCTCCCTTGCCTCCTTCAAGTCCAGTCTCAAGACCCTTCTCTTTAATCATACCTTTGGTCGCCCTCCCACTTCTCTGCTTTCCCTCACCCCTACACCATCCCTCCCCAATGCTGGGCCCCGACACCTGACTGTTCAGCGCTTTGGGACGTCCTCCCGACGTGAAAGTCGCTCTATAAATGTAATTTTGTTGTACCACGTCTTTGAGATGTCTCAAAGCTCTTTACAGAATATACTGTAAAGTGAATTGACTGTACATTTTGTGAGTGAAACACAGCAGCCAATTGCACACAATAGTGGCCCATGAACAGTCGTGGATTGAATGACCAAATTATTTTTATTTATTTATTCATGAAGGGATTATTATCCCTGGAAAAGCGATCCGCCAATCAACTAACAACTGGGTTCCTACACACAGCCAGATGAATAGAAGTGCGTGGTGTAAGGAAACTTGCCCAATGTTTCATTCTGGCCGGAAAGCAAACCTAGTTCCTCTCGCTTGTGAGGCGAGTGCCCTAACCACTAAGCTACAAGACTCCACAAAATGAGAATGCTCTAAGAATCACCATATAATGCTCCAGAGAATATGGATAAGAATCACCATATAAAGATCTATGTTTTAGCATCTATATTACCCTTAGGAGGAATGTAAGCTTGGAGTCTCTGTAACAAATGTGCCTATTTTTTCCACTGGCCACATCAATGAGCCCCATAATGACATTTCCAAGACAACTTAGTGATCGGTTTATACTGCTCGCTTCCTGAATAGGATAAACACAGAGAGAGAGAAAAAAAGTTACGCAGAAACAAAAAAAGTTTCAAATTATTTGAATTCTCAAATTGCATAATTTAGTTACTTGCAATGTGATTTTCCAATGTATTGATCATGGAATCCACACAAAGCGTGTTTACGTGAGTAATATTTTGCTTTTGAAATCTAGAATCAATTAGAAGTGTTGTGAATTACGTACAGTATTACTATACACACATTTGTGATTCATATACACACCTGTACTTACAAGATACCTCACCACTATAGCCAAATACTCCTAAAACCAAGTCCAGTTATTGTGTCTACAAAATGTGTTGGGAGTATCCAGTGAACAGTGTATGATCGAGTAACCAATATCTTTCATTCTGATACAAAGCTGCCATTACCTTTAATCGAACCCCTTCAGCACGTGTATCCCTTTGTCGCTCTGACCCTGCTAAATCAACCAGGTTCAGCTGGGATGTTCGAATGTTAAATAGGTTGCTGATCTTTTCCTTTGACTCTATGGTGACTGTGAAGACAGCATGCGATCGTGAGGACTCGCGGTTCATTGAGGTAGAAGCCACACTTCGGTTCCTCCACCCCATGGACAAAACCTGTGAGATTAATCCCAAAGTATTACTTTTTACACTTATATAGCACCTTTCACATGCAAAGGACATCCAAGGCGCTGGACAGTTAAGGGTTTGCACCCGAGTTAGGGGTTGAAATCAAGAGGAGTTCAGGATATTTATTATTTTATATTATTTATATTTATTAAAATTTTGTATTTATTACTATGTATTTTATATTAATTGTTTCAGACACTGAATGAATAATTAATGATTATTTTCACACTTTTATAGCAGATGTTCAGCACATAACAGATAGGACAGTTTTTTATTTCCTGCCTGTTAGATACATACATTCTGAACTATATTTTAGAATAGGTGTCAGCCTGGCTCACTTAGTAGCCCTGAGTCAGCAGGTTCAGGTTCCAGATTGGGACTGGGAACTCAGTCTAAATCTAGGCTGACACTCCAATACATTGCTGAGGGAGCGCTGCATACGATTTAATGGAAAGAAGAATAAGTCACTATGTTCAAGGGGTAGGCTACATATAAATGTATAAATTACTTGCACCATCTAATATTAAATGGAAATAGTTACCTGATAGGCCTCAGCTGCTGAGGTTACAACCCGTTCAATGACCCCCTCAACAAATACTCCCGTTTTTATATTCTCTCGTAGAAATAGTCCACTTGAAGCGGGGTCCAACAAATCATATATTTGTTCATTGTAAATCTCAATGAAAGAGCACTTGCACAGGAAATCCTTGCCATCCCCTGCCTATTAAGTATTGATACAGAAGCACAGCATCATTAGTTTTCAAACATAAGTTTTTATCTAAATACCTGAAATATCAGTGATGGTAGATAACACACAAGATACCTTTTCCTTTTCCCGACTGATCAAGTAAAACAGGTATTCAAAGCTGCGAGGAATTACTCCTCTGAGATTATGAGTGAAGTTATCAGAATCATCAGATGGACCTGCAAAGGTTAAAAACTTTTAGTTTTCAAGCTATTTGTAACTATCCCCAAAAAGTATATTTGTCTAATGCACTTTTGATGGGTAAATGAAATGCAAATTCAAAAAACATTTTGATCTGGTAGTGTGTTGCTGGAATATATTGTTTACAATACCAAATTACATTTGTATAGCTCCTTTCACATTGGGAGAACATTCCAAGGCGCTGGATAGTCAGGGATTTGGACCCGAGCGGTGGTGGGGGGGTGGAGGAGAAAGAGATTGGAGTAAGGGAGGGTGAAGGGCAGGGAGGATGGCCGAAGGTGCGGTTGAAGAGGAGGGTCTTGACACGTGCCATGAAGGAAGCAAGGGAGGGAGTGAGGTGAACGGAATGTGGGATGGAGTTCCAAAGGGTGGGGGTGGAGAGGCTGAAGGCCTGACCGCCGAGGGTGGGGGAGGGCCGGGGGACTCAAGCAGGCCAGAGGCCACTGAGCAGAGAGGTTGATAAGGGATTAGCAGGTTACTGAGGTAGGAAGGGGCAAGGCCATGGAGGGCCTTGAAGGCGAGGACGAGGATTTTGAACTCTATCCTCTGTATAATTGACTTGGAACCCAGTGGTATACTAACACAGCAAGACATTAGAGGGTTGCCAGGGTCTATGGAACGATACACTGGCAACACACCGCTGACGAAATAGAGAATCAGATACATTTTTCCACACAAGTCCAATCTTGGCCACTGTTTAGGGAAGGTGACATATGGGAATGTTTCTTCAGAAATTAAGTTTTATTTAAAAAAATAAACAAGCAACCCTGATCTATGTCATATTAAATGGAAATAGTTAATTGACAAGTCTCCTAGTGCTACACCATAATTGATTTTGGTTATTTACTATGTCCACTATATATACACACACACACACGTACAAAGGCTGCATCGTACAATAATATAGCAAATTAATATTGCTAACAGATTGGGTTCAATGCAATACTACATTATGCTCTCATTAACACCTTAAGTCAGCAGTGGAGAAACTTCCCATTAGATTATCTAAAGCCAATGAGCTCATCACATTCAAATTTCTGAACTATTTAGAAGACCCGTGTTTTCAGATTCGAAACATACTGCATTGATTACATGGTATAATCAAGCTTAATCTTTGTTTTACTCACCCAACATTGTGAATGTTTTCCCTGAACCAGTCTGTCCGCTGGGAAAAGGAATATTTTTAACAAGTCATTTTCAGCAAAATTCCCTTCAACATTTTGATGTTATTCAATTTCTTTGCAGTAATTCACACCAAATCAGTAACCTCCACCCACGCCCCTAGAAATTTTGTATGAAGAGGTGATTATAGTTCTGCAGTCAAAATATACATAATATCTAGGATTTGAAGCATTAACGAAGAATCTGATATTTCCACTTTGCCACTAATTGGATATGTGCAATCCATATAGAAGCACACCCCACTTCACTAGGGCAGACCTCGGTGGCCAGTTTGACTCTCAACTGTCCTTTAAATCACACACACATGCTCTGAAGCTTCAATGTCCCGCCTCACCCAACACTGCCTGTGTCTGGTACAACCTCTCCCCTCAGGCTGCTCAGACCTTTATCCTTGCGTTTCGTTCCGCACATCCAGGATAGATTACGCCAACTCTCTGCTCGTTGGACTTCCCAATTCTTCCTCTACAAGCTGCAGACCATTCAGAACTCTGCAACCCGTGTCCTCTCTCACAACACAAGGCTACGCGAACCTAACACCCCATCCTTACTCAGCTCCACTGGCTCCCCATTCCCAAAAAGATCAAGTTCAAGACTATCGTCCTCACTTTAAAACCCCTCCACAGTTTTGCCCCACTCTACCTAAACAATTCTATACCCTCTTTGTAAGGAAACCCTATGGCTTCTGACCTCATCACAATGCCATGGCCAAGACCGACAAACTATGAACTGTAAGTATAAATTCACATCGTGGTGTAGTGCATTGGAGTTCTGCGACAGTACACCTGTACCATTTTAATATAAACCTCTTTAAATGTCACTCAACAATAATAACTTGCATTTATATTGCACCCTTCAGGCGGGGTAGTGTCTTGGAACACTTAATGGGGAGAGCGGGGCGGTGACCAAAGGTACAGTCGAAGAGGAAGGTCTTCAGTTGTGATCTGAAGATCGCCGACAAAATATACAGTCAATTCACTTTACAGTATATTCTGTGAAGTGCTTTGAAACATCTCAAAGACGTGATAAGGCGCTATATCAAATGCAAGGATTATTATTATTATAAGACTAACAAGGAGGGAGCAAGGCGGTGGGTTTGAGGCAGTGCAGGAAAGTATAAAATCTCTAAGAAAATGGAGTATGCAATTTGAAGTGACAGTGGCTGGTAGCCAAAGCTTTGCTAATCCATGCGTTTTGCAGCTTCACTGTTCAAGAACTAAGTGGAGAAGACAATCACAATAATAATTCAACTGGAAATCTTACTTACTAAGCAAAAATTGTGCCATTGTATCCATTCATGCACGACTCGATAATGCCTTTTGCTACAACTGAAAATACAGATTCCTGCAAAAAGAAAACCCCACACATATTTATATGCATTCCTTAGGTTCAGAGTCACTCGTTCAGCAATGCAAGCCACTTCCTCAATATAGCCCAATAAACTGCACAATTATCCCAAATAATACAAGAAGTATTTGTCAATCTGAATGCCTGGCTTCATGTCCGAGAAGCGAGACTCTTTCTTCTGCTGATGCAATCTGGAATGAGGAAGTGCAGTTATAGGGAAAGGCTTGATAAACTAATTTTTTCTTTGGAACTCAGGAGACCGAGAGGAGATATGATAGAGGAAGTCTTAGCTAGGGTGAGTATGGGAAAATTATTTCTGGTAATCAGAGGATATTCTCTGCCACAGCCATGTGTTGGGATGACAAACATGTGTACATTCAAAAAGACTGGACACATGGTTAAGACAGAATAAAGTTGAGGGATATCTAGAATAGGCAGTGGTGTGAAGTATGAATACGAGATGGACAGGATAAACTGAATGGCCCGTTTCTGAGTTGTTCCTTCTATGAATTATGATTCTGAGTGTTATTCTAACATCAAGAGTAGAACAGCATGCAGATTAGAACATTCCTCAGCAAAAGTGATAGTTTTGGGAAAGCAAAATTGTTTTATTTAAATTGGGGAAAAATATCAGACATCTATAATTGCTAATGCTTTGGGAAACATTGTACATTCTGGTTGAGAATTTCACTTTAACTAATGCCTAGCTAACAATTGTACTATAGTATTTCAATCAGCAAGCCCAGCACAACTGACTATATGCCAATATATATTGTGCATTTATATTTGTCCCTGCACAACCTTGATTATCCTAGTAGAGCTCTGATAAGCCTTCTTTCAAACAAATCATTGAAAGTTTACATCTCTCTGGCACAACTGAAGTTCCTTTTCTCCTTCTCATTGTTATTTTAGATTTACTAATTACAAACACTGTATTCAATCATGTATCGATCTAAAGTTATCTTCTGTAGTGCCCAACTATAATTTGCTGATTTACATGGCACACAAGGACCTCTAGTGGAACAAGCCTGGTACTGTATTATTACAAGATTAAATGGGTTAAAACCTAGCTCCACAAAGTGATCTGCACAATGCGAGGAATGGGAGAATGTGACCTGTCCACCCTCTCAACTCAGGAAAAGTAATATAGCATATAGACTAGAGCAGAAAGTGACACTTGTCCCTCCATAAATGTTCACACGATGTTCGCCCCAAAATAGTCAATCCACTTCACGGAATATAGGATGAAGGACTTTGAGGCATCTCAACGATCCGATATAAGACGCCATATCAAATGCAAGGATTATTATACAAGACAACTTTTTTAAAAAAAACTCACTCATTTTTAAAGCTGTACCTGAGTGGTGTGTATGTCAGCCACATGATCATAGGTGAAAATCTTGGGTTCAGGTTTTGAATTGAGACGAACGGCATTTGATGAGATGACAGACAAACACTGGCCTTGGTCTCCATCATTGAATAACGCAGTGCCCTTCACTGGTGGTCGTACCCTTACATAAACCTTGATGGAATCACCTTCAGCACTGTAATTATGAAAGATAATTCAGTATTTACAACAGAGTAAGTCTGCACAATATTTAGATGCAACCCAAGTTTCTTTAAGAGCTTTTGTTAATTCACACTTTATAATATACATCTTAAAGAAAATAAGTTGCCTTCATGTTTTCTCCCTCCTGGAGGTCATCAAACTGTGCCAACATCAGCTCAACATTAACAAACTTTTTTGTATGATACAGATTTTTTCCACACATGTCAAAAGATCAATAACTCAGTTGCTGATTTAAACGTATTCCCTACTTGTATTGTGTTTCCTCACGTTACAAATATTAATAACCACTTGGAAACTAAATGACCAAGTAAATCTAAAACAATCCAACAGATGTATGTCAGTAAAAAAAATGATTTTTCAGTCTGCAAACTGTGCATTTTTTTCATTAATTTCTTACCTTGGCGGCTGGGGAGAAGGCACGTCAATCATATCCCCTGAAAATATATTTAAAAGAGATGGCAGTTCAAGAAAAGATTCAACAAAATAATCACGTAGAAATTAATGTTAAATTAAACTTCATTTACAAGTTTTCAAACTTTTCAGATAATAAAAGCTTATCAAGCAACGGTTGAGTTTGTTTTTCCTACTTTTGCACAATTTTATACAGCAACGATCTACCAGGTAGTCATGGTGTCAATTCCATTATATTAGTGAACAGTTAACAATGAAATGATCCTGAGATGCTAGTTTGTTGGGATGTCAGTTTCAGGCAAGAATTTAGCCAGCTGAAATTCAATGCTAGAATCTACATAATTTACACTATGATTTGAATATCAAGGGACTTTTTTTTCCAAATCAGTCTACCCCAAACCTGACAAAAATCACATATTAGAACAAAGATTAGCAATTTCTATCCGCCTAATTAGTGCAATTGCCATAATAGAAATTAGACACGCAACAAAAATTAAAAAAATGGAATTTCAGTATTATCCAGAGACAAATATCTTACAATGTGGCTGCCAACATAATAAATTAAACCACTCCATGGTGGGAGAAATGAAAAGTTGCCTGAGGCAAAAAAAGGCTGCTGTTTTTTGTCATCACCTTGACCACTCAGAAATCTGCCTGAAGCATCACAAGCTCACACCATTTACTCCCCTCATTTCCCAGGAGGTAGACACTCAGTTATAGCTTGACAAAACAGTGACTGAATTACAAGTTTTCCTTTCAGACATGAAAAGCATATCAAGCAAAACTCAATCACAGTTCACATTTTTCCCCACTTCTGCACAAGGTAAGATATTTATTGTGTTTGTTGCCCATTCCCAGATTGCCTAAATCTCGTCAATACTTAGACCTTGCAGTTTATTTATAAACACTTATAAAGCTGATAATGAAATTGCTACATACATCAGTCAACTGTTATAACTGCCATGGGTACAATGTTTTTTTAAAATCACAACTTATGCAAACAAGCCATTGCATATTTTACAATAAACAGACCTTAATATCCATCATCTTTGGGTTTATACTACTGAGCTAGCATAAACAGTAATAGAAAAGTTACATCTGTTCTGTGAATTATCTGCATTAATATAATATAATCCTTGTATTTGATACAGCGCTTTTCACGTCTTTTAGACGTCTCAAAGCACTTCACAGCATATGCTGTAAAGTGAATTGACTGAATATTTGTGGGCGAAATGCGGCAGCCAATTGCACACAGCAGTGTCCCACAAACAGTCATGGATTGAAAATGACCAATTTATTATTGTTTTGGGGTTTTGGAGGGATTATTATTAGACGTGTGGAGTAAGGAAACTTGCCCAAGGTTTCGCCCTCTGCTTGGAATTGAACCCAGGTGTCTCACTTGCAAAGCGAGTGCTCTAACCACTGAGCTACAGGACTCCACATTTTGGGTTTGTCTCAATTGTTGTATATATTATAGATCTTACATTCAAATACATAGCTTAAGAAAACTAAGTGCTCGCCACCCCCTCCCCTTTTTCCTAGTTCAGAAAGCCAAAAATCGTATCTGAAAGTATTGTTGCACATTTATTTCCTGAAGAAACCTACCTTATCTAGTTACTCTTCATCCCTGGCATCCTGCTGAATTCAGTGCCCATATGTAACATAAACCAGAATTGTACACAGCACAGTTCAATTGTAGCTTGACTGAGCACTGTACCATTTGAATATGCCTGGGATTCTGAACTCAACTAATTTAACAATATAGTCTAGCCTTGCTTACTACCAACTCAAATCCGTTTAAACATAGTTAGCAATGAATCAACTAACACCCCCAGGGGTCTTCCAAGTCTCCCCCCACTCCAAAAAAGGGATGCAATCCATAGTATAATGTGCCTATATTTTTCTTGCAAACTGTCCATTTACTTGGATTGAATTGACAAGTGATCAGCTCAGGTGTACACCCACAAGCTCTCAAACCTTGGCTGTCCATGGCCCATCTTTTTTCTTTAGTCACCCGGATGTCTTACACATGTGGAAACACATCACCATGGTTAAGAGTATCCAAGTTTGAGATTTCCATGCATCCCACCTACACATGGAAATCCCAGAGATAGATTGTTGGAATGATATGCACACTCTCCCTGGAGGGACGCACCCTGCTTACCTCATTCCGGAAAGTACTAGGCGCAAGCTGGCAAGAGCCCAGGCCTGGGGACCCCAGAGTGTGCGTTGGTGTACATCTAGAGTCTAATCAGCTAAAACCACATAGCTTGCATTGATATTGCAATATCAATATCAACGCATTGATATCAATGCATTCATATTGCAAGCTTTCCCACTGCTTGTCCAGCTAGGACCACCCTACCTGTTAGGGCTTTGGCTTGCTGGGTTAAAAGGAGCTGAGTGAGATGACTCCCTGCCCCCATTGACTGATCTGCCGTTCCATGTCCTGCCGATGTCCCAGGCTGGTTGTGCTGCCATCAGCGGTACCCTGGAATACTGCAGACCTCCATGGCCCATCTGATCTCACCCCTCCAGAACACAAACCCTACCATTCTTCCATCACATCATCAAGCTTTTTTTTAAATTAAAAAAAGAAGTCCAGTTGTGCCAATAGAAAAGTGCTGCCGCAATTTTTCCCCGCGGAATCTGCAACAAACAACCCCCCTCCGTTTAAAAAACCTGTAAAAATGCAGTTTGCTTGTCCCCAGGTCTACTTGACACCTTTCAGGACAATCATGTTCGAGATACTTCACTCACCCTGAGGCCCCACTGTTAAGATTGTCTATGTGTCTCTCTCTGCTCTGTGTCTGTGAGTGTGTGAATCTCTGTGTCTGTGAGTGTCTGTCTCTCTCTGTGTTTGTGAGTGTCTGTCTCTCTCTGCGTCTGTGAGAGCCTGTGTTTGTGTGTACGTCTCACTTAATTATTAGGCTGTTACAAATAATGTGGAATCAATACATCGGCAACCGGTCAACGACAGGGATAGAGGAAAAAAAGAAATGAAATCAAATGCAGTCAGTGAGCTTGTCTAGTTTGCTTTTAACATCAGAGCTAGAAAAACACAGCTGCCAAAAAACTCCTGTGCCTTGGTGTGTGCAAACAGTATTATGGACTGAACAATATTGAAATATCTCAAAACCCTTCACAGTGATCGCTGGTACATGTGGTGACAGATTCTTTTTTCTCTAAAGCAACTTTTTTCCACACGAGGTCCGATAAATAGTCACGACTGAGGTGAATATCTAACTGATCTGCTCCTCCTTGTCTTTTTGACAATATATGTGGTGGTTTCGCCCACAAAATGTACAGTCAATTCACTTTACAGTATAACAATCCCTCCAAAACAAAAAACAATAATAAAATTGGTCATTTTCAATCCACGACTGTTTGTGGGACATTGCTGTGCGCAATTGGCTGCCGCGTTCGCCCACAAATCTACAGTCAATTCACTTTACAGTGTATTCTGTGAAGCGCTTTGGGACGTCAAGAAGACGTGAAAAGCGCTATGTCAAATGCAAGGATTATTATTATTATTCTGTCAAGCGCTTTGAGACTTGATAAGGCGAGGATTAGTATCATCGTAGTAACACTTTCGCCTCCGAATCAGAAAGTTGTGGGTTGAAGCCCCACGTAGTCTAAGATGACATTACAATGCAGTGTGTGTGGGGGGGGGTGGGGGCGGGTGGTTGCGTTGATGGAGGTGCCGTCCTTTGAATGAGACGCTAAACCGAGGTCCCACATGCCTGTTCCTGGTGTCCTGGTCAGCAATCTTCCAGCTGTTTCTGGGTCATTGCTGTGCACAAACTGGATGCTATGGATCAAATTCAAGATCCTGGAGTCCTGTAGCTCAGTGGTTAGAGCACTCGCTTTGCAAGCGAGAGACCTGAGTTCAATTCCAGGCAGAGGGCGAAACCTTGGGCAAGTTTCCTTACTCCACACACCTAATAATAATCCCTCCAAAACAAAACAATAATAAATTGGTCATTTTCAATCTACGGCTGTTTGTGGGACATTGCTGTGCGCAATTGGCTGCCGCGTTCACCCACAAATATACAGTCAATTCACTTTACGGTGTGTTCTGTGAAGCGCTTTGGGACGTCCTCCCGACGTGAAAAGCGCTATATCAAATGCAAGGATTATTATTATTATTATTATTATTATGTTGCTCTGCCCCGACACTCCTCGCCGAACTGGCAGAGAAGTCCCGCCACCTTTCTCCCCTGCCCCCCCCCCCTCCGCCAAAAAAAATATCAACAACAATAATAATAATAACTCCTCCAGATCCTGACCCGCGGCCGACGCTTACCCTGTTCCCCGAGAGACATCGGCACCCGCTCGTCCTCGATCAACGGGCGCGCGTGACGGCAAAGGGAGAGCCGTTACAAAGCGAAACGGTGCAGGTGGGAGCTCGCGCTGGTTTAAAAGCTCCTAAAATGGCGGACGATTCAAATCTGGCGCCAACGGCCGGCAAGGGGAGGGGGGGGGGAGAGAGAAGGGAGGGTCACGTGACACGGATCCCCTGCCTGCCTCCCTGCCTGGAAGGGAGCTGGTACGAAGCTGACGTGGGCGCCGCCATGAGGGCCGAGGATCACCTGACGTGGGCGGAGCTTCCCCATTGGCCAGGCTGCAGGCTTACCCCCCCCCTCCCCCATCCCCTCCTCCCTCCCTCCCTCCCAGGACCCACACGATGAGCAAGAGGAAGAGCGGTGGGGTCTCGTACGTGAAGCCCGCGGAGCCGGCCTTCCTCAGGCGGTTTAAACAGGAGGTTGGGTTCAAAGAGGGGCCTACGGTGGAAACCAAGGTGAGGTGAGGAGAGAACGAGATCCTCTCCCCTCCTCCTCCCCCTCCTCCCTGTCACCCTGACCCCGTGTGTATGCACACGCTGTGCACATGGCCGCCCCTCTCAGGGACCTCAGTGACAATCTTTGCATTTCATGTAATCAGAGCACTCGCCTCGCAAGCCGGAGGGCCCGGGTGTGATTCCGGGGCCGGCGCGGGTGAAACCCGAGGCAAGTTTATCCCACCCCACCGCCTACGCCACGCGCCACTGGCAGTACCCAAGAACCCGGTGGTTGGTGGGTTGGCGGCTCGCTTTCCGGGGGGTAATAATCCCATCAAAGATAAATAACGGCTGTTTGTGGGGCGCTGCTGTGCGCAATTGGCTGCCGCGTTTTGCCCGCAAAATGTACAGTCAACTCAACTCTACAGTATGTCCCGTGAAGCTCTTGGTGCCGTCTCAGCGACGAGATAAAGCGCTGCATCAAACGAAAGGATTATGATTGGTGTAGCACCTTTACGATGTTGTCGAGACGTCTCAAAGCGCTTCACGGGATAAAATGTAAAGTGCAGTAACTGTATAGTATTTTGTGAGTGAGATGCGGCAGCCAGTTGCGCACAGCAATGACCCACAAACAGCCATGATGTGAGCGACCAGTTTTATTTGGGGGATTGTTGGCCAGGGCCTGGGGGGAAACTCCCTTCTCTTTTTGAATAGTATCATGGGATCTTTAACATCCACCTGAACAGGCAGACGGGACCATGGTGTTATACATGAAGACTCCGCTCGGAGACTTTCACGTGGGGGCTTCTCTACGAGACTTTACAGAGTCTGTCCTGACATTTGAAGCAGTAAGAGGGAGAGTTGTTGGAGGAAAGAAGGTGACCATAGGCAAGGTCTAAAATGTAGGTATTCAGGAGACTTTTAAGGACTGAGGTTCAGGGGGGTAAAGTGGAGGGATTGAGGTAAGGTGAACGTTTGATTGCCAATAGTGGCGGCAAGGAGCACACTGGAGGCGACGAGCAGGAGAATTATCACAAGAGAAAGGGAGGTGCAAGAGCATATACAGATTTGTAGGTGAGAGGAAGGATTGTGATATTGATCTGGAGGCAGACGGTAGAGCCTGCTGAGAACAAGGGTGGTTGTGAAGAGCAGCGCTCACCTACAGAATATACAGTCACTCTTTACAGTAAATCATGTGAAGCGCTTCGAGACGGTATGATAAAGTGCTATATCAAATGCAAGGATTATTATAACAATACGAACGGCCTTACTTGTATCTTGTGGATGGTAGCGCTGAGGAGGGTATGAAGGAAGACCAGTGTGAAAGTAACAAAGCTATGGATAAGGGTTATGATGGTTATTGTATTTATGAATTAATCCTTGCATGTGGAGTCCTGTAGCATATTGGTACCGAGCACTTGCCTCACAAGCGAGAGGACCAGGAGGGCGAAACATTAGGCAAATTTCCTTACTCCACACGCCTCTATTTACCTAACAGTAAGTAGGAACCCAGTTGTTAGGCGATTGGCGGATCACTGTCTTAAGGGTAATAATCTCTTCAAAAGTGAATAAATAAAATAACAATAATTTGATCACTCAATCTATGACTGTTTGTGGGACACTGCTGTGCGTAATTGGCTGTGGCATTTCGTCCACAAAATATATAGTCAATTCACTTTACAGTAAATTCTGTGAAGCGTTTTGAAACATCTCAATGAGATGGTTGATGGCTTTGTACGATGCAAGTTTAAGAAGACTGATGAGTAGATGATGAAAACATCAGATCATAGATAGGGCAACATTTGTAAAACTAATAAAAACATTGGAGTTCTCCGAATGTCGAATAAAGTAATTGCCTGATGTGAAACTGAGCCACAGGAAATCCTCAATCTGGGCTGAGCTAACTGATTTCAGACAAACAATGATTTTAAATAAAATGAAAAATAAGCAATCTTTGCATTTGATATACAATACAAATTACATTTGTATAGCTCCTTTCATGTCTGGAGGACATCCGAGAACGCTGGAGAGTCAGAGATTTGGACCCGATTTGGGATTCGGGAGGGTGGAGGATAGCCGAAGGTTCGGTTGAAGAGGGTTTTGAGATGCGCGTGGATGGAGTTCCATAGGGTAGGGGCAGAAAGGCTGAAGGCCCGGCCACCGATGGGCACACTGAGCCTGGTGGGGGAGAGGACTCAAGTTGCAGAGTTCTGGGTGATCTGTAGCTTGTGAAGGGAAGAGTTGTGAAGGTCGACAAGCAGGGTGTTGGAGTAGTCAAGCCTAGATTGTTGAATGCGTGGATAATAATAATCCTCGGCATTTGATATTGTGCTTTATCACGTCTTCGAGACGTCTCAAAGCGCTTCACAGAATGTGGTGTAAAGTGAATTAACTGGATATGCTGTGGGTGAAACACGCCAGCCAATTGCACACAGCAGTGTCCCACAAACAGTCGTGGATTGAAATGGCCAATTTATTATTATTAGTTTTTTGGAGGGATTATTACCCCGAAAAGGCGATCCGCCAATCGATTAACAATCGTGTTCCTACTTACTACTGGGTAAACTCAGGGGTGTGAAGTCAGGAAACTTGCCCAACATTTCACCCCTGCTGGGAATCAAACCCAGGTCCCTCGCTTATGAGGCGAGCTCAGTAATTATACTAGTAGTTAGTAGTAGTTATACTGAGCTACAAGATTCCACATGAGGGTTTCGGCAGCCAGAGAGGTGAGGCAGTAGCGGAGCCGGGCAATGTTATAGAGGTGGGGGAAGGCAATGCGGGTCATGGCACGGACGTGGGGTAGAAAGGATAGTTGAGGGTCAAACAAGACGCCAAAGTAGCGGACTGACTCAGTGAGGTGGAGTGTGCATTCTTGGATGGTGATGCTGTCAGTGCCTGAGTTGTGGAGGTGCTGACGGGAGCCAGTCAGGACCTCGGTCTTGTTGATGTTTAACTGCAGCAAGTTAGCTTGTTGAAATGTCTCAAAAGTGGTTAACAGTATACACTGTAAAGTGAATTGACTATTTTGTGGGCGAAGCACGGCAGACGGCAGACAGTTGCACACTGCAATGTCCCACAACAGATATGGAGTGAGTGACCAATTTTATTTTGGGGGGATTGTTGGCCAGGAAGCAGGGAGAAACTCCCTTCTCCTTTCGATTAGTACCGTAGGATCTTTAACATCCATTTGAACAGAGGGATGGGACCTCGGTTTAACGTCTCATCCAAAGGACGGCACCTCTGGCAATGCCACCACCCCGCCCTCCTGCCCTGGCCTTCAGCACTCATTGGAATGTAATTTTAGTTTTATGTAATTCTAAATCCCGACGTGGGACTTGAACCCACACCCTTCTTACTCAGAAGCGGGAGTGCTACCACTGAGCCAGGCTGACACTGATATTGGACATTACAATTGACTTGCACATAGATGCGTCTAAGGAAAGGGCACAGATGTGCTTTAAATGTAGCCTCGCCAATGCTTTTTGATATTTTCCAGATTTAGTGCTTGTACTATATTTATAATGAAGATGCAAAGTGTTGAAAAGGGTTTAGAAAAAACAATGAAGAAGATTGCTGTGGTTTGGGGGCACTGTCTTCCTTAAAAATGGTGGTAATTTAAAAAAACAATTGGTCTAAACATTGTGATGCACATCATTGTGTTTATAAATGGCATTTGGCTGCTTTGGTGATCTCTGGGGAATGATAGATCTCTCTTAATCAGTGGGCTATGAAGTGGAACTAACAGAGTTAAACCTGTTCCTGGGGAGGAGAGGGAGAGAGATTGAGAATAGAACAACATGAGACATAATCCATGATATCATGGGAATTGAGTGGAAGTGCAGACAGTAGTTCTTGGTGTGGAACCAGCCGAGAAATAAGGTTTTTTTTTAATTGAAGAGACTCCAAGCTAAATGTAACTTGACGCTCTGAGTTAGTTTGTGGAATAGAGTATCACCAAGTGAACAAAATCCCGACAGTCCTTACTCAGGGGTCTAAATGTAAGCAGTTGGCAAAGAGTAAACCAAGCACTAGACTTAAACCTCTGGAATATCAAGATGGCTGGAATTTTTTTGAGTTTCTGGAACAAGTTGTCTTGTGTTGGTTCTCCACCACAGGGCAAATATCTGTCAAATAGGTGATTTATTACTCTGAGGTTTGGCATAACATCTGCTGAAAGGTGTTATCTGGAGTCTGGGTTTTTGGATACAAGTATCTCCAGGGTTTGATGTCTACCTTGATTAATATGCAGAGGTAAGGAACTATTTACTGAAGTACCATCCCGCCAAATGGTGGAATCACCACTCAGTGGATAGCAGTGTGCCTCCGGGCTGTGCCATGACCCGCTCCGTCTTTCCCCATCTCTGCAACATTACCCATCTCCGCCACTGTCCCTCATCGCAGGCTGCCGAGACCCTCATCCACACATTCATTACATCCAGGCTCGACTTCGCAAACTCGCCTCTTGTCGGTCTCCTCAACTCCTCCCTCCACAGGCTGCAGATCATCCAGACCTCTGCAACCCGTGTCCTCTCCTGTACCAGGCTCTGCGACCCTCACCACCAGCCTCGCCCGGCTACACTAGCTTCCCATCACACAGAGGATACAGTTCAGGCTAATGGCCCTCACCTTCAAAACCCTCCACGGGCTTCCTCTGCCCTATCTCTGTGACCTAACCGCCTACCAACCTATCTGCTCCGTCCACTCAACGGGCTCCATCCTGCTTCACGTCCCCCACCTCACCCACACCTCACATTGGCGGGCGGGCCTTCAGCCACTCCGAGCCCACCCTCTGGAACTCCATCCCGTAGTCCCGCCGCCTTGCTCCCTCCCTTGCCTCCTTCAAGACCTGTCTCAAGAACACTCCCCTTCGACTGTGCTTTCAGTCACTCTCCTTCCTCCCCTCTGCCCTCCACCCTCCCTGATCCCGACACTCAGCTTGGGTCCGAAACCTTGATTGTCTAGCACCTTGGGATGTCCTCCCGACGTGAAAGGCGCTATACAAATTTAATTTTGTTATTGTTTTTGAGTGACCAAATTATTATTATTTTTATTTGAAGGGATTATTACCCCCAGAAATCAATCCCATCAATCAACTAACAACCGGGTTCCTAGTTTCTGCTCAGTGAACAGAGATGTGTGGAGTAACAAGACTTGCCCAACGTTTTGCCCAGTCGGGAATCAAACCCAGGTCGTCTCGCTTGCGAGGCTAGTGCTCAAACCACTAAGCTACTGGATCATAGTCGACTTCATACCCATTCCTTTTAATTATTTTTGTGCACGTTTCAGAGGCAACAACTCCCAGAAGACAATGACAGTGGACAGAGTGATGGAGACGATGAACAGCCGCAGGTGGTAGTTATCAAACAGGGTGACCTGACAGCTGAAGAAGCTGCAAAAGCCAAACTCGCAGAAAGCTCAAACAAGAAATGTATGTAAATCTTCAATTTCCATAACCTTGAAAGTGCCATTGCCAGCACTTTTCTAGTTTTGGTATAGTTCTACGCGGGCCGGTAACATACAGAAATTGCACAAGTGCTTGTTCTTGATGTGTGAGTCAACACAGTGGGTATTGGTCATTTATATGACTGTAGAAGGCACCACAGCCAAGCCCAATGCCATCATCAACTGATGTTCCCAGATACATCTTCCAGTAGGGATCACTGGTTAGTGAATAGGGGTGGGAGCACTGCCTGATTTTGCCCTCTAAAACTAGTTGTAGAACCTCAAAGGCTTCCCCATCTCAGATTAGTTGATTGAGGATTATACCTAAGTAATACTGCTCTATTCGGTTTAATATGACTTGGGGCTAGGGTGGAAGGCAGTGTTTTAACTTATTTATTTGACTATTTAAAGCCTATGGTAGTTTCAAGCAGATTTTAAAAAGCAGGGGGAGACGATAGAGGAATCTTAATTGGTTCAAAACCAGAGTCATGGAATATAACTAGCCTCTAAATTACCTGAGCTAGAGATCAGCCAAGGTTCCTCCCTGTTGATCAGCACTGGAACAGGCTTGAGTCGTGCAGACAATATCTTGCATTTATATAGCACCTTTCACACAGAGTTGTGTCATGGAATGCTTCATGTTACCTAGCGCTTGGACATAATCTGGTTCAACTGTGTATCAATGAATAGCGCTACATCAAATGTAGTTTTTAAAAATTCTTACCTATATTTATTAATTCATCAATTGGCAGTGTAAATTCAAAATTAAGCTTTTCTCAATCTCTCTTGTTATACAAAGTACATTTCCGATAAAGTATTCGCTAAAGGAATGAAGCAATACTTGCCACTTTTGACTAGTTTCCAGTACTTCCAAAACAATGGAATATGGTTTGCAATTTCTGAAGGCTATCAAATTCTCCAAAGGGCTACAGAGAAAAACAGTTGGCTGTGGGCAGCAGTGTTATTGCCCAGGCAACCAGATTCAATTCTGCAAATTTCACAACAATTTTACAAATGAAATGTTTCAATTTGTTCATAAGGGACAAAAGTTACACCTAGTACAGTGATATACACATATGAATCGTAATAATGGTGAGTGAGAATGATTACAATGAAGATAATCTCATTGTAAAGTTCAGGTGACAATCCATTCAATCTACGTTGCTATGCTTCATAGCATGCTCCAAATCCTTCTATGCAATTTTAATGTAATTGCTCTCAGCCACCCATAAATCTATCTTATGAGAGTGGATGTTGGTAGATGAGTGGAATTACAGGTAAAGACTTTAGAGAATGTAAAATGAGAAATGTAACTAAATGTTCAGTCTTGAGGACAAAAATAAATTAGTTTCCCTTCTGGAAAATGAAAAGGGAATTCAGTTGTTTAATTTTTATTTCTCATTTTTGAATTGCTTTCAGCTGAGGAGCCAGAGCCTGAGGATGGGAAGATTGTGTTTAGAAAACCAGCAAAGCGTTCTTCAGAGGACAAGTTTACAGGTCTGACCGCCACTTCTAGTAAAAAGAAGAAAGAAGAACAGAAAGAGTGGACAGACTCCAAAGATTCAGAGAGCAGACCAAAACAAGTCAAAAACAGCAGTTTGCTCTCCTTTGGAGATGATGAAGATGATGACTAGAGCAGGAGGTACTATATTCACTTTGGGCCCGTCAGTAAGAGCTCTGGTAACATTGTTCCCCTATGCATTTTATATGAACTCAATTCAACAATCCAGGCAACATGTATCATTAGCTTGGCATGAAATCTCCATATAATGGTTTGACCCAATATATAAGATTCATGGTAATCGTATCGTGGTATCTTTCCACAATCTTGTTGTCATTTGGGGTATTGTGGTACAGTAAAAAAACTTGGGTACATTTAAAGAAAATGGGTTCAAGCAAACTGGTAATTTCAGAGAAAATATATACCTTTTCATTTTCTGAGCATCCCCTTATACTGCTCGTTTTAAGTGATTTATAATAAGCAGCGTGTCCTGCATTCTATTATATCTTGGTTCATTATGGAAGAAAATAAACTGGTAACATGGGCCTTGGATAATAAGTCTCTATTTTAGCCTTTCCAGAGGGCTCTTACTAGTGACTCCCATTTGTAATATAGTGCAGAAATTGTGATTCCAGGTGGGAATGTCTAGGATAAACTTATAAGGAGTCTGGAAATGTATTTACACAAAAATGAAGCTGCATCTATTTGTGCTTTTATCCGTATCAAGTTTAACTGTTGACTTGTTTTGCATATTTTGTCCAGTTGTTGCATGTTAACATTAAAGTACTTACTGATTGTGAACAATGTACGCTGTGTTTTATATTTGTGGAAGATTGTCTTGTATGAACTGTAGCTTCCTTTCAATAAAATAGATTCCCTCAGACTCTAAAGCTCTTTATTGAAAACATGTCTAGCTTATTGAAAAAATAATTAATAACTTAAGCTTAAAAAAATCAGTTCTTCCTCTATCACTGAAAACATTGTAATGTGAAATCGCTTGAACTCAAAAATGAAGATCTGATTTTGAGTTGGGACAGAGGTCACGTTGACAATTTCCCAATGGGTATCCAATCTTAGTCTTATTGTGAAGAGGCTTAGCATTTCACCACCTTCAAGAAGAGGGCAGACAGGTTTATAAAGATTTTTTGATAAGAGTACTGCAGTCTATTTTTCCCTTATTTTAAGTAATAATAATAATCTTGCATTTGTAATAAGCCTCATCACGTCGGAAGGACATCTCAAAGCGCTTCACAGAAATTACTGTCAAATGGAGTGACTGGGCATTTGTAGGTGAATGCGGCAGCACAATTGTGATAGAATCATTAGATAGATATTTACAGCAAGGAAGGAGGCCATTCATCCCATTGTACTTGTGCTGTTTCTTTGAAAGAACTCCTGTATATCTGTTTGGTTTGCCTACCTTATTTTTGCTTTACCTTATTTTTTTATTCTCTCTTCTTCATTAATTTGACCCTTTCTCCAATGCAGAGGGATTTTGAGATGGTTCCAGAGAGCAGGGATGGAATGGCTGAATGCCCACCGATGCGGAGGTAGAAAGGGGGTGGGGATGTGAATCAGGCTGGGGTACGCTAAATGGAGGAAGCAACGGGGCAGTAGAGTCGCAGAGAGAGGCTGAGGTGAGGCCCGTGGAGGCATTAGAAAATGAAGGGAATCTTGATTTCAATGCACTGATGGTTGGGGAGCCAGTGTAGCTGAGTGAGATGGGGACCTCCAGGCCCAGAACTGTCCCCAACGTCTCAGGAATCTGAATCCTTCCTTCCTGCACCTCCGACAACATATTCACCTGCCCAATCTTACAATCTTGACTACACTGGTACCTTGGGGTGTGACTCCATTCAGGACTCATAGTTCTGTCGTTTATAAAAGTACTTGTCTTAATCGTGGAGTACCCTATTAATACTGTACTATTATCCTATTAATACTACCGCCCTCCCCCCAGCAGCTAGCCACTTGCTCCATGGTCCTGTGACATTTCTCATGGCTGTATCTTGCCCTGGATTGCACCTGTCAACTTTTTCTACCCTTGTGCATGGTCACCCACTTCCTCGCTAACTATTGATCTGTGGATTGACCACCTCGTGAAGTGTGTTTTTGTCTTCCTGTATGTTACAGAGGTCCCCAGCCACCCTCAAGCTCAGAAACGTAGAGCTCGAGTGCGGCCAAGTTCCCCCCATGTTGGTCATCCATGACACAATGGGTTGAGGAACACTCACACCATAGAGGCTTTGCACACGATGAGCATCAGCTATCCATCGATAGTAACTAATCTGATCCCTTATTAAAGTTCACCTAACACAAGCACAACAGTTAAGCACTTACCAGAGAATGAGCCCCAAAGCTCACTCATCATTGAATCCTAACCATTGAATTTGTGCTGTCATTAAATTGTTCCATTACTTGAGTGTATATTCCATGTATGTGTTTTCTTAATTGTCGTTAGAATAGTGTACTGGACATTTTTCTTGAATTCAGTAATGTGTGTCCAGTGAAATCAGTAAGAGACACGGTTCTGAATGAAGTTGCGCACTCCAGCGAAATACAATACTAACTGGATACTGAGAAGCAGTTATGCTGATTTACAGCCTGAAACAAATGACAATGAAATGAGAATGTGGAAAACCATGTTGATAGGTTGTTAAATCCTAAAGCATATCAGTCTTTGACAACCACAGAATGAGCCTGTGAATTTATCGAGAGAAAGCTGGTTGTTGTGCACTGTGAGAAGTCATGGAGCAGAATTGTAAACTGGTTAAATAGGAGGCTTGTTGAGCTATTTTTAGTTGAAGAAGAGCAATCTGTTTCTTTGGAACATAACTCATCTCCTAATGGCCTTTGTAATGGGTTTGTAATCCATAGTGCTCTTGAGCTCATAAAATCCGACTCATTGTAATTTGACTCTCTTTTAGTGACTATGCAATGGGCAACAAACGACGTTTCCAAATTTAAAAAATGAATTTGTGACTCTGCAAGAAATCATGAAATGCACTTGTAAATGAATTAATTGGACTGTTTGGCACAACAAAAATGTTAAAAATACAGAATGATTACAATAGTATACATGTTTCAATTTCAACACAATCAATAATGAAACTGCATAAAAACACCTATTTAAAAATTGTTAAGATTTGAACACACAACATTGATGTGTAGATGAAGAGTCAGTTTTATATGAAGAAACTGGGGGTGGAGGGTGGGGAGGGGGAGTTAAGGGGGAGCTCCACCTCCTGGAGCTTATCTGGCTCCAATGTTGTTAGCAGACAGAATACAAATTACAATAACCTTTGCATTTGATATAGTACCTTTCACTTCGGGAGGACATCCCAAAGCACTTCGCAATGGAATATTGAAATAAAGTCAATACTTTGTGGCTGTCTCACCAGCACTCCAGAGCACTGCTGATGACAGCCCAGTTAGCCTGAATCATCCGTAGGACTTGGGAGAGACAGACTGGAGATTGGGAGCGGGGATTGTTCCTAATTTTGCTCTTGTTAATCGCGTGAGCCAAAGTTCATAATTGGTCAGGTGATCCGAGCTGGACAGGCGTTGTTCTCAACGGCACATCTCCCGGTATCCTGGCCAACAAATCCCCCAAATAAAATTGGTCACTCACGCCTTCGCTGATTGTGGAACATTCCTGTGAGGAAACTACTGCATTCGCCCACAAAGCACTGTTGCTCCACTTTACAATATATCCTGTCGAGTACTTTGGGATATCCTCCCGAAGTGAAGGGTACTATATCAAATGCAAAGTTTATTGTTATTTGTATTCTGTCTGCTAACAGCTAGGAATCTCATGTCAGACATGAGGCATAAATTCCTAGACGTGGCTGGAATGAATTATATTGAAACTAGAGAATAAATGTACAATCAATGCATGACATCTGTCTGGTGGCATCAAGGTGAGTTTAAATTCTCTTAAAAGTAAGAAACTTCCCCGATGATGAAGAACATTTATCCACTGAGCAGCAACATCATACAGCTTGGAAGGCTTCAGGTTCAATTGAGGTCTCAGGTAGGACAGAAGTGGGGGGGAAACTAGCTCCCCAACAGGCCTTGGGATTGTCAGGTAAATTGGGGGGTGCTGAATTGTGGGGGTGGCCAATTTGGCATAAAACATCTGTGCATTTAAAGACTTTGTCAGGACTTAAATAGAACTTCCGAAATAGGCTGGGCAGGGTGGTAAGCATCCGGAGCCAATCATGGGGGTATTCGGGAAATTTCCTAATTTCCCATATCCCTGTTGGAGGGGGTTTGGAGAGGACAGTGAAGGGAATAACAGTTCCTGCTCAAGTTATTCAGTGAGCCCTGATAGAATGAAAGTGTGTGAACATTGGTTCACGACATGATTTGTTTGATTAGTTGAGTTCGGATCTTTGGAAATCGTGCTTAAGTTATACAGCGCTCTTGAAAGGCTGCATCTAAAGTACAGCATACATTCTGGTCACCACAACACACAGTGTCTGTGAGTGCGTGCATCTCTCTCTGGGTTTTGTGTGCGGTGGTGGGCCAAGCAGTCAGGACACTGGCAAGCTTGGCGAGCAATGTTGGGTGTTTGGCGGATCTCTCGGCCTTCAAATGTAGGCAGGATGGAAACGGACCATTCGGCCCTTTGGGCCTACGCTGATGTTTCCACACACACATCCACATTGCTGACCTCCTGTAGCCCCACAATGAGCAATGCCGTTTTTTTGTGGATCTCCAGCGCCCCTTCCCCGCCACCCCTCGAGTAGGCCACCCAGTTTTTGTGAAAGAAAACATTAATTTTTTTTACAACCATCTAATATGTGTTTTTTTTCTGTTTAGTTTTTATCAATAAATTGAAAAAAATTGTAGGTTGGCAGTAAAATGTACTTCAACAGCATCAATCAATTCCCTGAAAATTTCCCCCAAACCTGGCAAATTTCCCTGCAGTTTGGGGGCAAATATTTCTGCAGTTTTGGGCAAATATTTCCACAATTTTTTATTGACCCTGACTATGAGCAACAATTAGATAAGTTAAAAAGAGGCACTTGAGGGGACCTTATTGGAAGTACATAAGACTTTAATCGGAATTGAGAAAGTAAACCCAAAACACATGTTCAGGGTTTCAAAAGGCAATTTAAGGGTAGACTATAAAAATACAGTGCTATTCAGGTGTCAGTCTGATTCGGGTAGGGTTCTCTCTTTTGTATCGTAATGCTGTGGATTCAAACCCCACTTCAAGACTTTGCACCTAGGTTGACACCAGAATGTATTACTCTGTTGGTGGTGGCATCCTTTGGATGAGATGTTGAATGTATTGCTCTGGTGGGTCATGCAATACTATTTGAAAGAGGAGACTTTCTCCTGAGGTCTGTCCCACCAACAATAGTAACCCTTGCATTTAATATAGCACCTTATCACAGCACCAAAACACTCAAAGTGTGTCAGACAATTTACAGTAAAGTGTAGTCAATGTGAATTTGTTGGTGAATGCAGCAGTCAATTTTCACAAAGCAATGTCCACAATCAGCCATGAAGTGAATGATCAATTTTAACAGAGGATTATTGGCCAGGATATCAAGAGAAATTCCTTGAGATTAATTGACCATTCACCTCCCTTGTGTGTGGAGCTTTGCTGTGTGCAAAATGGCTGCTGTGTTTGCCTACACTTGACAGTAATTACTGTAAGGAACTTTAAGACCTATTGACATCATAACTTTGGGACCCCCATCACACCAGTCCGTGCCAGGCTGCACTGCCTCCCAATTACCGAACGGATCGACTTCAAGATCCTCTCACTTGTTTTCAAATCCCTTCATGTCCTCACACCTTCCTACCTATCGAACCGACTTGCCCCCCACTCCACCACCCGCTGTTTCCTCTTGTCCAGCTCCGGCCTCT